CCCCCCCAAAAAATTGGGGGTCACTGACTTCATTTCAGAGATAAAGTGTGTGGAAAACTACCCTGATTTCGAAAAATTAGTGCACGTAATTCAGCATGATCTACAGGGGTTTATAGCTAAAAATATTGAAGGCGAGTCAACGGAGGTAAACGATCTTAGTCATATTTTGTAGAAGCAGGTCTGTAGTGTAAATAATTCCAAATTTTACCAGCGTTTTCACAAAACTTAACCCTTCGAGAGGCATTTGAAACCGTCGCACAGATAAACAAAGAGCTAAAAAAGGGAATTTGATGGTGCATTTTGCAAAAAAATTCAAACTTCTAGTTGATAGATTTTCTTCATTTTTTCGCTAAATGTAGAAAATTGGTAGAGAAAATGATCCATCAAAAGAAAAATAGGGGTCACCGAACGTCCAAGATCGTTAAATCCATGCAAAGCTATAGCAGTGGCCATCTCCCCTATCATTGTTCATTTTATTACTTAGCGCGCGCTCATGCATGACGTGGCAAGTGAATTTGTGTGCGCAGTAAGGATGTGCAGAAACAATTAGCGCGGACATCCTTAAGGGGTCTCGCTAAGTGAGTGAAGAAATATTTGAGGTTAACCTGCAATGGACTGGCATCCCATCATGGGTGAACATATGGCAAGTGGCTTCATGCTACTTAGCTGATGAAAATGAAGATATGCACAGCCTGATGGGCAATTAGCTTCAATGCTTCACCAATTAGTTGATAAATAGAGATAACGGTGATAGCAATATGCCATTTCCAAGTTGCTTTTTACCTCTTTCAAAACAAGTCCTGGTGCACAACATTTCATATGGAAATGAGTTTGATTTGCAAGACAATGAACGTGCAAGGAAAGCCCATTTCAATATGAAAGGTTGTGCGCCAAGACTTGTTTGAAACAGAGGTAACAGCAACTTTGAAAGGGCTCATTGATTTCTCCTTACTCAGATCAGTGGGTATGCTAGAATACCAACTGCTGTTCAGTAAAGGAGCCTGCACTCCTACCCCGAACTCACGGCATGATGCGTGGACTTGGCATTGTTAATTTTGACTGATAAGAAATCTGCCTGCATGAATGGAGGCCAATACCATGAGTTATCTCTCTTGCAGTTGCAAAGATGTGCAATATGAAGTGTGATCGCATTAGTGGGACATTTAATTAAATACTGGCAACTGATGAGATCTTGCGTGACCTAAATTATAGCAGCATAGTCAACACACAAGATAGCCAACAAACCTATGTGTGAGTGTCTATATTTGAATCATTTGGTGCCAGAATGTCAGATAACGAACAAAGCCAACAAAGAGAGGGAAAAACGTAAACATCAAGCTTGAGAAAAAACTCGGTCAAACGAATCTGTGGTCTCCCTGGGGAAAGCAACACCAGTCTCTGGTGATGCCAGACAAAATTTGGTTTTTAAATGATCCTTAGCAAACCAAACAAGCTACATATATGCATAGTAAATTTAAAAAGGGTGCCTGCTTAACAGCAGAAAACGTGCAGACCAACATGTGTGACCTTTGACATGACATTTGCTGCACCAAAGTCAAAGAGATCTGCTCTACTTAAAACTCTTCAATAGAACACAACAAAAATGTCCTTCCACAACAATAATTTGACACAAAATATATTGGAAGGCCAATATTAAAAGGGATAGTGAAAATGGCACTTGTACAGAAGTTTACAAGCTGTAGTGCCAGGTGGGCCTGTCAATGATTGCCATCAGAGGACATTTCTGCCAACCAGAAGGGCCGTATGAATCAAATTATAAATTTAGGTCACAGACATGCTTTGCTCAGGGTTCGTACCCTTTTTCAGAAACAAATTTCCTGGACTTTTCCAGGACTTTCCCAGGACTCAGATTGATTTTTCCAGGACTCTAAATTCACATTAGCCCATTCACTCCCATGATCTTAATGTTAATTCTCCTTTTTGTCTGCCATACATTTCATATTTTTTCACTTGAGTTTAACAGATTTCCAGAACTTTCCAGGACCAGTAGCCCTTTTCCAGGACTTTCCAGGTTTTCCTGGACCCGTACAAACCCTGTTTGCTGTTCACTTGTCCAGCCGTCTCTTCTCGTGGAGGAAGGTAGACTGAACTCAAGAGAGCAGAGAAAATCAAGCCTAGCAGTAATCAGCATTTAGCTGATGAGAATGAAGAATATCATCAGCTAGAAGATAATGCATTGATATACCTGGCATGGACAATTGGCATATTGAGCGTGGATCTGTCAAAGATCTATTAAATTATGTTCAGTGTATACCCCTCTTGCTAAAACAGCAGCAACATGTTGCTGTCCCATGATTTGGTTGTTAAAGACAAGACATTTGTGCTTTATTCTTGAACATTGAGTTAAAAATGTACTGCTACTGTATAAAAGTTTCGCGGGTTGTTGTAATCCTCAAATTAGTTTTCTGTTTATCCTCAGCTGACTGAGACAATATATTCATGACTATTGTATAATTATATTCATAATAAAAATATTGTTTTCACCCCATATTTTATAAATATCGTGGCAAATTAACACAGGGATGGAATAAATTATTCTGCAGATCATGTTTTCTTTCTCGGTGGCCTGTATTCTGATATGTCATGGTCTTCAAAATCCTCCCGACTGTGGCCCTCTCTAAAGGACAAGAAAATTATCATTGATCAGTGATAATAGTCTATGTTGGCCTCACTTCTCCATTACAAGAATTTATATCGGAGTAACCCTCCTGGAGAGTTACAACTTTCATTGTTTGAAAAACACTGGTAATGATTTGTTCCCTTAAAAACATGACATGGTAACTAAATTGCCACACTTGCTTCTGTAACGTGATATCAGGTTTCAGGGGGGACATTTCTACAGTCACTGTAAACAAGGACATCAGCAAAGAGTGGCCTACAAGCTCGCCATGCCAGCACTCCCGGTACTGAAGCCAGCCTGCATAGAAAGTCAAGTCCGATAGCCTGTGGCTAGTGGATTTTGTGCAGCTGGGCTAGTGAATTCTATTCTTTGCTTGCCCTATGGGAGAGTGACATTTTCTTGGGAGATCTTTGAGGACATTCAAGAAGTACAGTGTACTGTAACAGATTACACTTGTGAGAAATGTTTGGGGACCAGTGGGAACTATGTTTGGCTAGTAGATTATGCACCTTGTTGAAGCTCCTGTTCAGCATATAAACAGTGTCCTTGACCCCTTTATGAAACTTGCATACCTGTAGCAACGCCGACAATACAAGTCATCATCGCAACCATGACATCTTAACACAGCATTTCCATTGCATATACAACACCAGGGTAACTCATCGTCATCACTGTTTGCTTCATAATCTTTACTAAAAATGCTGCTAAGCTTGGCTGAAGGCTTGACATCTGCAGGCTAACAAGTCACACATTTTACTTAGCATGTTGATAGAATGTAACTTATTATTTGCCTTATGAATGTATTAAGTAAAGTTAGTGCATACTGTCAGTTGGAATCCTGATAGTTCTGACAGCACTGCATTAATAATCGCAAAATACCAACCAATTGAAAATTAGAATGTAAATTTTATTGACATAGAGTACAGTAATTTAGTGGTCCATGCTGCTTGTACACAAACTAGTTTCCTAGTTTTACCTGAAATTATTACACATAACAATGCATGCATGTTGACAATACATCATATGACATTATAACTCCCCAATTTACTTTCAGTCCATAGGGAGGTATTACAATCTTGATATGAACAGACCTTGTTACATCCTGAAATAGAAACTGTCTCAGGGAAGCTGTAAAAGAGTTTTATGTGGTAAAGAAAAATTGAAATTATAAAGGCTGTGTGCAGATTTACCTTAGATTTTCCTGGCTTTTGAGATCTAGACTTGCCAGTGCTGCTAAGACCTAATTATAAATAATTTAAATAGATGAGTGAAAAAGGAACACAACACAAATTGACCAAGGTAACAGCTCTTATCATAACCAGACCAATTGATTTTGAGCTCACAATAGTGCAGCCACCAACTATCAGGTCACCCCACCTCCTTCAAAATGGTGGAGGTGTAGTTAGTAGATTAATAATAATAGGCCAATTTTGATATATTAAAATTCTAACTTGTTGCCGAGGCTTCTAAGGGGAATAAAACAAAAGAAATCGTTTATTCATCCCTTAACCTCAATGTGATTTCTTTTGTTTTATTCCCTTAAACCTCAGCACCAAGTTAGAATGTTAATACATGTATCAAAATTGGCCTATTGCATTAGGTATTGGCCTCATAAGCGCTTAAAAAATGTGCCTTCTGGTTGTCCAGGACAATTGCATTTTCCTGCTGGGCAAGTAGCTTTTCATTCTCACTTGCCCATTAGGCAAGGGACCAGGCAAGTCATCTGCAAACTAAATAAGGAAAAAACCCAAAAAACTAAGACTTGCCCGGGCCAGGGCAAGCAAAATTTGAGAGTTGCTTTTCCGAAGAGCAAGTTGGAATTCAAGTTTTTTTCCGAGCCCTGCTCATATGAAGACATTCTTTCGGCTCATCACATAGTCCTATTTAATGACAGAGGATACGCCCAGAGGTGAAGTCTACGTGTACACGTATGTAGAATGAGGCTGAATTGGGCTTCAGATCTGAGCTCATGTCCAATCATAACTTGATGTTCCATGCCGAGAAGCATGTATGAATACTTTAGTTAATTACCTTTACCAGTGTCAATATCATCTGTTTTTATTTCCAGAGCTGCTTCATCTAATATCTATAGAAACAGTGAGTGGTACATAACATGTAGTTGCAATATGTATTTCCATTTCAATTGATTCATTGGCCTAAAAGGTATTTAGTTCTTTTATTTCACACTCCTAAGAAAATGTTCTCATGTTCCAAACTAATTAATGTTCTAAGTAGCAACATTATTATTTACTCTGTAATTCATATGTGAGCTTAATTAACTTAAACTTAAGCTAATACTAGGGGTATCAATGGTAACATAATTGGCCAACACACTTGCTAAATTTGAAGTTGTGACATTATGTAGATGAACATTTACACCATTTAAACTTAATTTTAAGTTTAGTTCCCACCCTCATGACATTTGATACACACTTCAGCAAGGCCAGTAATATTTAAGGTTATGCAGTTTTACTTTACACACTTATTACTGCCTGATGTAGATTCTTGTTGGCAGACTGATGAACTTTCAGGGGTGCAGGGGGTTAAAATAGAAAGGCTTTTTGACACTAGGCTAATAGTTTAGAGCTTGTTAATAAACTGAAATACAGTGTAAAAATAAAACAAACCTGTTTGAGGTATCTTTTACTTGCTGTTTCATCATCTTCATCACTGTCAAAGTCACTAAATTTAGGTTGATTTGTGAGACCTGCAAGCCAAGTAGTGCATGTAAATTATCCAAAAAATAACTGTGATAATGTTACTACATGTATTTCCCAATATTTTCCTGCACCCAAGAAACATCATGTGAACAGTACAAATAAAAAACTCTTTGGAAAGGTAAAAAGTCATGTGTATACAGGTGTAAGGCACCTTCGAGTGATCATGTCTCCTTGAATTGGGAGTTAGGGTGATCAGTTCTTTTTATTATACATGTATGCAGATTTAGAATGTACATCACAATGATCGACCAGGAAATGTTTCAGGAGATTTCTAGTCAATGTTAATTCTAAGTGGAAGTGAATGGTTCTGAGAAAACCGTGGGTTTCAGACACTTCTGCTCTGATCTTGTAATCTTGAAATCCTTAGTGATGAGTCAAAAAGTCTGGGTTTTGTATGTTTCTTTTTGTTTGACAATCTAAAATTGCTAAAGTCTCAGTCTTGGTTTGAGTGCTGGCCATGGTCCTAACATGTTAAGTTCAACTGGGCGAGTCACTTTAAAGATTCTCACAGTGCCTCTCTCTCTCTCTCTCTCACTACACCAAGGGGTATCAACGGGTGGTGTGTCACAGTATTAGAAGTCATTCACAACCTTACAGAATGCTTAGCACAACCTGCAATAGACTAGCTAACCATCCAGGAAGGGAAAAGCAACACTACTTAGGAAACTACTCACAGTGCATCTCTCTGATTCCACCCAGGGGGTATCAATAGACAGTGTGTCACGGTATTAGAGGCCAGCTCCTGATAGGTCAACCTTACTGAATACAGTTATAATCTGAAATAGACTAGCAGCCCATCTTGGAGAGGAAAAGTAATTAATGACAAAATCATGCATGGACAATAAGATCTGTTGGCCATTTTTGGTATGCACCTGATTATACTATTACATTATCAACTCACTTGGATCAATATCCTTCAGTTTTGCCAGCCTCTGTTCAATTTCCTTGTCTGTAACTGTAACTGCAGTCATTGGATCATCCTCGTCAAGCTTGGTTTCTTCTAACATTTGCTTCATCAAATCATTCACCTCTTCCACCTCAGATTTCTTTGGCAGGAGGGTATTGATCTATTAACAAAACAACAAAACAAAACAAAACAAAACAAAACAAAACAAAACAAATTAAACATAAAACAAAACAAAATTAAACAAAAAACAAAACAAAAAAAGAATGAGCACTATGACCAATGAGTAAAGAGGTTATGATAACTATCCTTTTCTTCCAAATAAAGATTGGGCCCCACAGATCGGCACACACTGGGGGACATGTTGCAAGGACATGAAGTAGGAACAAGCCCCTTTGTGTATACACATACTGTAGGATCCATGTTGCAGGGACAGTATGAAAAGCAGGTGCACACGAAGAGGATTGAGGCATAAAATATGCATCGTAGCAGGGACAGTATACAGTTGTTTCGAGAAAGGTTGTAGTAAAAAGCGTAAAAGTGTATGCGACAGTCCCAAAAGTTAATATGGGTAGAAGTAGATAGGTGCTGTACACGCTGAATACAACATGACAAGCGTATTTCGTACAAGTTTCTTTTTGCCACCTGAATTTTAGAAGAATTTTCAACTATAAGTCATGTAACAGTAAAAGAACAGCTACAGAAAAATGGTTGCATGAGTGGAAATCTAATGTATCCTTCAATGCTTCAGGTGCAAAAACACAAATTTGTGGATTTCTTCTACACCGATATGAATACCCACACTACCATTCGGTCTTGTCTTGTAGGCTTGATGTTTCATCTGACAACCTCTCTCCAAACAGCTGTACGTTGGAGCAGTGCACTTGATAACACATTGAAAATTGAAGTCATTTTGTCCCTACTTCATGATGCAGGAATTCAAACCAGCTGAATTTCAAGCAACAATATGTTACAGGCGTGTCACATGAGGAAAACTATTGCTACAACGTGTCCCTACTTTAAAGACACATGGAAAAAAAAAAAAAAAAAAAATCNAAAAAAAAAAAAAAAAAAAAAAAATCAGTTATAATTTGGATGGAACATGCAGTAAACAGTTCTCTACACTTCATGCTACAGTAGCTAACCTTTACAAACCCTTCAGTGTAATGGAATTGAATAAATGTACAAAGTCAATGTAATCACATTTGATTTCTGCATGGATGTTGCCTTTCTGCCAGTGAGGCTCTCAAACCTTTCTCCTAATTCTTGATCTGTTAGTGCTGACCCTGGCAGTTTCTCTGGTGAAAGAGTTGGGGGATATTACAGAATCAACAATGTTCACAAAAAATAATATTAAGTAAACACAGTTCTATGGGCTATATACTATTATAGGTATGTTGACCCCAAAGGGTACAGTGTATGGTTTTTTTAGCTGCTTCGGTGAGAAATAGTTTATGGTTTTTGCACTCTAGTCTTGAATTGGGCATGTTTTAAAGAAGAAGCTATCCCAATAAACACACACATATATAAACATTGGCTTTCACATCAGTCTGAACCAGGGAACTACACCTGTAAGTTCAAGGCAGGTCTGGAACAGGGCATTGATTTAAGGGTCAAGTCTTAAATAGGGTATCTAAATTTTGGTCAGGTCATACATAGGGTAGGAAAAATTGCAGATTTTGATCTTAAATAGGGTAAGGGTTGTGGGAAGTGGGTTATGCAAAAATACTCAATTTTTCTGGGAGTGCTCTCCAGGTATTCTGACAACAGAAAACAAATTGCAGCACAGAACATGACAATTAACACTCCAACAGATGCAATAGCCAATCAAATATTGAGTTCCATCCACTCTTGTTTTCAGTCTTTAACATAACACTTTATGTGCCATTTACAACTGCTAATTTAAGAGAGGAAGCCATATCAGCCATAGCTGGTTTTCATGTGAAGTGTCTATAGATGCAGGTCAAATCATTATTGTAATTTGAAAATGTTGGTTTTTCAGGAGGGAGGAAATCTGGATTATCCTGAGAAAATCCTCTCATTAAGTTTTAATTCACCTGCAGCCTTGATCTTCACACCCGTAACAAACTTGTTACTTTATGGGTGAATTGTATGAACAAAAGGCAATTCCAGTCGTAACATCAAGGGCTGATCAGGCACACTCAGCCATAACAGGTGTTACCAGTTACGACCCTTACAACAAACCCAACCCACACATGGCACCACACCTGATAATAGAATCTGGCTCACGATAGTGGGACCAAGGCAAGTGTTCTCACCATTCCACTATCTCTACTACCCCGGGCTGTATGCCTTACCTGGACAAGAATCATTGGTCTTCAGCTCTACAAGCCTCCTCCTAATTGCCTCGTCAGGATCAGCTGAGAGATTTTCATTTTCTGAAGATGCTGAGCTAGGTACATGTATATTTCTTTCAACTTTTCCAGCTGCTGTGTCGCTTTTCTGAATGACATTGGAGAAAATTAAATTGTCTCATTACGTGGTTAATAATCAATATCTTATCTACTGCTTATTAATATAAATCTAATGAAAATGCTTTGTTCCCTACAGTTTACCCAGATGATGGTACTATGTTGTCCATCATGAGATGCAGAGTACACTGTATGCTGTCTTCATCTTGCCTGCTCTCATAGCTACAACACTGTACCTATATAATAATTACATGTCATACAATCTTAATAATATTTAACTTACTATAGACAGGACTCCTAACAAAACAATTCATTTTACATTTTTATTTGTCTTCATGCAACTGAATCCCTGATAATTACCTGACAACTGCTAGTGCTAAAACTAGGTCTAGGTAAAGCGGTGTCCTTGTTTAAGTCATTCAAATTACGCCCATCTGCACCTTGAGATTCCTTCTCCAGCTTTCTGGAAACATAAAGAAAACATCACCTTGAGAAGAGTAAAATTCTGAGCTATAAACGAAAAAATGTCACCTGAGTAGCACACAAAATCTTCAAACAGGCATGGAACTTACACTGCAAGATTGAAGTCCATTAAGGTGATTCCTTAGTATTGCACTGCGCATCCCTACTGCGCACGATTTTTGCGTCATTAGCGCACCCACACAAGTGCGTGCGCGTACAAAACGTAAGAGATTTCCCTCAAACTAAGCTCGAGACCGAAATAATTATAAATGCACCTTTTCTCTTAAACGAGCACGGTGACCACCATTTTTTATTTCATAATTTCAATGAGAACAATATCCTAAATAACTGAGAAAAAAATTAGCAGAAATCTATGGCTACTTTTTCAGCAAATGAAATAAATACTACAGAAGGAGACATAACGGGCCCAACAGCGCATATCCAAATTATGTTTCCTTTAAAGGATACAAAAACGTAGGGTATTTGAGGACATTTTTTCTGGGATGTAGATGAATAAACAATCAAAGAAAGTCAAACTCTGTGTGTTATAACACGCTGCAGTGAAAAATATTCGAGCTTATTTGTTGCGCATGGAGATTACCAAAAGTCACCTAAATAACTGTATTTGTCAGCATTGTGGCATGCAAACAAGCACAGTGACCCCCTCTTTTTACTACATTTTTTATACCTCCTTGTCCTGTAACAATAGCATACCAAGTTTCATCGGAAACCTATGGCGGGTTCTTTTACTAGGGAATCACCTTAAAATCATAAGACTTGTGAATTTTTTAATGGTCACAGGAACAATCACAACTGAAGGTTTTCAGGAGTTTTTCACAAGTTTTTCATGGCCTAAATTAAGGGTGTTTTTGTGACATGTCAGAAATCCCATGAAAAAACCATTAAAAATACTGTGAGAAACCCCTAAAAATTCCTGTTTAATGACTCATGAAATATTCTTTACATTAAAGTCCCAGAATGAGCAATACTGTATTATTGTTATTTGTACTAACTTTGTCACAGTCTTTCAATGTCAATATCAACATCAACATCTTCAATTTCTCACTATTAATACATGTATGAATATCATTACAATTTTAGTTTATTAAATATAGGTTGTATGTTTCAGATGAGATAATAGTCGTAATCTTGTTTGAATGAGACTGGAGCCTAAAGGACCTGCTAGGTATGGTATGCAGTTTGCTCAATGGCTAATAATCTTTTTGATTGACACATTCTTGACTTGGGACAGTGTTATGAATATGACCTATTAAAACTGTAACTTGTTCTGAACTAATGAGATGAAAGAGTAAACAAGTTTCACCTTGTTGTATTCTTGTAGCACTGATCACACACTTTCATTTTCTTTGAACCATGTTCTGGCAAAATCACTGAATGAGAAGTACAGCCAGAGCAAAACAGTCGGCCACATTTTTTGCATCCATGCTGACAATGTAAAAAAAAAATATTGGTAGATCGTATTATAAGCAGCTGATCAATGCATCTGAACAGTACAGTATCACTTAAAAGTGAGTTACAGTATCACTTCTTGTCTCACAAGAAATGAGAAGCATGTCATAACATGATGATATTTCAGCAAATAAAGTGATTCCTTCATCTTGAAATTATCAAACAACAATATGTGCAAAATTTCGCAAATCATTTTTTTAAAAATTCTTTTGCACAGTAAGGAGCTTAAGCAATGACGACGGCAACCCCGAGGACGACACCTAGTAAAAGTCTAAACCCTAAACCCTAGCGACCCTTATTGTTCATGCTCCTCCCCCCCCAGCCTCACACTGATGAGGTAAGTTATTTAAGGACGTTTGTACTAATTGTTTCTGCACATCCTTACTGCGCAAACAAATTCACATGCCACGTCATACATGAGAGCGCATGCTAAGTAATAAAATGAACAATGATAGGACAGATGGCCATTGCTGAAGTTTTGCCTGAATTTAACAATCTTGGATGTTCGGTGACCTCTATTTTTCTTTTGATGGATCATTTTCTTCACTGATTTTCTACATTTAGCGACGAAATGAAGGATATCTATCGACTAGAGGTTGGAATTTCTGCAAAATGCACCATCAAATTCCATTCGTTTAGCTCTTCGTTTATCTGTGCGATGGTTTCAAATGCCTCCTCAAAGGTTAAGTTTGTGAAAACATTGGTAACATTTGGAATGATTTATGCAACAGACCCACTTCTTCAAAATATGACTAAGATCGTTTGCCTCTGTTGACTCACTTTCGATATTTTTAACTATAAACCTCAGTAGACCATGCTGAATGATGTGCACCAATTTTTCAGAATCAAGGAAGTTTTCCACATGCTTTATCTCTGAGACGAAGTCGGTGACTCTCAATTTTTATTGCATTTCTGACACAAGTAACTCATTATCTGACTGCAGGAAAAATTTTGAAAAAACCTATCGACTGAAAAATTTTTGCGCGAACGTCCTTAAAGGAGGGAAGATCAAATTGGCCACATTATACCCCCTCAGGAATAGCATGACGGACAGCTGGGGGGGGAGGGGGGGGTTAGAAACTTGGAAACTTGAATGACCCCAGGACATGAATCTGGAATACTATATCTGCTAGACCAGTGTATGAGCGATTTTGGCTCCACATGCTCCACTATACTGTGAGATATACCACTTAAAGTCTATGCACACGCAAAGTACATGAAAGAAACTTCACTCATTTATTAATTGTCACTGCCAATGTTGTGTATATCTTTTATTTATACAAATGGCTTCTGACTTCCAAAATCGCCACAGAATTGTGAAGAATATAAACTGATATTGGAGTTTAAGCAGTTCGTAGCACGGCCTAGGAGTATAACCCGGAGCCTTTCCACTTAGCAGAAAATTTATCTTACTTAGTTGTAAGTGACAGCTCGTCAGGAGCGCCCAAACCACCGGACAGCGCTACCTCCCAAAATGTTATGCACAACAAAAAATAATTAAAACACTCTCTGATAAGCACTTTCAACGGAAAACAACACAAATGCTAACCTCTCGTTTAAAGAAGCCAAATTCTTGCCCACAACCAAAACACTGCAAACCCGCCATATTTTACAAATATTGGAGCCTGCGTTACTAGCAGATGTTATCTCAGGGAGTTCCTTCATTTGCCATTACACAAAGTGTCCACATGTCAGTCATGTCTCATCATGGCGGAAGAGCGTTCCATGGATCGGGACATGGAAAGCAGAAAAAAGAGGACGCAGAGAAAGAAAAAGTCGAATTAGCAGAAGAAGAGGAAGAAGAAGAAGATCCGTTTGATACTAGGATTAAAAATTCAGGATGTGCAGACCTTCATTACGCTTTACTGGTGAGCTTCACTTTCCTACACTGGTCCAAGATTGTACATCGTGTAAACTTAAGCTTATATAAGTAACACTTAATCACTGTGTACTTCACACCGGCAAGCGTGATAAACAGTTTAGCAACAGTACATTTTCGTCGCTTGGTTCTGAATTAGATACTGGGTTCGCTTTGGTTTCTTTTTCGGTGACATGGAGGAAATTTCACTGTTTACAATTATTATTACGATGTGACCCGGAGTCCCAGACCCGCTGTGTGATAGCGGCGTGAAATGAGTTTGTTTGAAATGGCTTTTTCTGTCCGGAATGTCCCTTATGGCAAAGGTTAAAAAAANCAGAAGAAGGCCTAAATGCTCTGAAGGAGTTTAAGGGATACGTAGACATTATTTGAACATGGTGAGATTCCTTCAGCACATTTGTATGTACCAAGTCTAAAGAGGGATCCATGGATGACAGGCCCATCAACCACTAAAGATGAAGAAGAGCTAGTTTATTGCAATGCAGAGTTTTGCTTCTTAAGAGAGGTTATTGTGATTTTCAGTGTTATTAGAAAACCGGGCTGATGTAATTGCCAATGTCTTTTTGATGACATGAAGATTCTACTACACCCAGGGTCCTGTTAACCATTACCTAGCTGCAATGACAAACTATGTAATGCTGGCATGGTGAACAGAACTTCTTTGTAGAGGTTCCAAGGGAATTGATGGCACTGCAGCAGAGCTGCTGCTTGTGTATATACCAATGGACGACAGAAGTGTTGAGACACTTTGCCATTTTGGAGTACTTAAGGTGAATTCCCCCCCCCCCCATCTCTACGATACTAACCCCTTCCCCCAAAACAGTGTTGAATATCCTGTCTCTAGAACTTGCCTTTTTCCTGTACAACATTGAAAAGGGGGAGGGGGGTTGGCTGTCAATGTAAACCGGATTTGAAATGGAATAAGTGAAATGTTGCAATTAGCACTCGATTCAGTCAACTGTCTCAACTACTTTTGTCACCCATTGTACCATCCAGAATGAAAATCCATCACAGATCTACTGCGGAAATGATATGGGATCCCTTGCCTCATTTTTTCACACTCTCGTCCACTAGTAGCAGGAAAAAAAGGACCCACCTTCATTCAGCCCCTGTTTCCTTTGGGGCACCTCTTCGTTAGCCTCCCCAGCAGATGCTCTTTATGTGCAATGAGTGATGAACACAACGAGCCTCTACATAGGAGGCTACCTCTCCATCTGCTTCTGCATGTGGGACATGATCTGTTTTTAATCCTTTTGCAGATTGCAAATGTAGCTGTAGCTGTAGATGTAGATCATGTAGATGTTATTGTATACTGTCCTCATCAACGATGGGTCAAATTTTATTGGTGATTAAAGGCCCATTTACACAGGCGATTTTTGTCGCGACAACTCGATGCAGCTTTTGTCGCGCTAAAGTTGCATCAAGTTTCAAACATGTTCGAAACCCCTGCGATATCGCGGCGACAAATTCCACTGAAAATCGCACCTGGTTTACACGTGCAATTTTGAAGTTGCAACTTTAGCGCGACAAAAATTGCATCGAGTTGCCGCGACAAAAATCGCCTGTGTAAAGGCTGTCAGCACTGTTACAGTGTTGTGAAAATTTCAAAGATTTTTCCATTTTCTGATGTAATTGCCTCAAGTTCTGAAATGTAGTTAAGACATTCAAGGCAAAATTTCAATAAACAGTAATACGCAACTAAAGAATGAAAAATGGAGAGGATCTAGACAGGTGACTGAATATTTCCCATGAACTCGTTGGGTTCAAGAAGGAAGTAGTGATCTGTCATGCAAGCGCAGAGTTTTGCTGATTTCCCCTCTAATAGACAATAGGCCAATTTCGATATATTAAAATTCTTTCTTGTCTTTGAGGCTTAGGGGAATAAAACAAAAGAAATCGCATTGAGGTTGAGGGATGAATAATTAATTTCTTTTGTTTTGTTCCCCCCTAAGCCTCAGAACCAAGTTAGAATTTTTATATATCCAAATTGGCTTATTTCCTCTATGAGATGTTCCTGCAGGGAAACATGGTTATTGTATTCATCAGAACAAATATCCAGTCTAAGATGATGAATACAGCTACCATGATTCCCTGCAGGCACATCTCATGGAGGGAATTTTAAATTGGTCGTTTGCTGAATGGATAAAATTTGAAAGTTATTGTGAAAAACAAATGCACCACATTTTTTCATTGTTCCCTTGAGTTTTTGAATAGTTTAAGGCGTCACTTGTGTGGTCTTTAAGAGTGCACACCATGGCCAAGGAAACATTGCACTTATGGTAATAGACTTAAGGAAAATCTTCAGTCCCAACCGAGGAAAGCGGGAAGAGGTTGAACACAGGGAAATGCACAAATACAAAGTCGGTCGCAGGCTTTTTATTTACATCCTCAAATAGATGGAGACGGTTTTCATTTGAGTGTCGGCAATCCATTGGTTTGAATCGACTACGCTGCACGATTGGCTTAAAAAAAAACTCGCGCCACTTTCTCATCTAATCAGAAGTAAGACCAAAACCAATCGTGACTCGTTCGCACTCTTTTACCCGCGTTTCGCGGCAGCTGCATGTAATTACCAGAAGTTTTGATTGGTTCACTGTACTGTCTGTATCCTTTGTGATTGGCTAGAGTGATTACTTTGGTTTTGCTTTTTCGACACTCAATTGAACGCTACAAAGAGACCAAAACAATCACAACTAGTTGTAACTGGACTGACTACAGCTGTCACTGCGGTTAATGTGACAGTTAATGTTACGGGATCGCCGCGAAACCAATTATCGCGTATATTTTCCACGTTTTAAAGATTTCAGGCTCTAACAAGATATAACAAGACCAATATATTTTTTACGACTACTTNTTAATTTGATATAGGGGTTTAGGTATCTACAGCTTAAACCGGACGCGCTACATCGCTTGGACGTGAGACACCCCTGAAGGTATACGGTAACCTTAATTTAGAAAACACGCTAGATAAAAAATGTCTTTCGTTTTACTCTGGAATGCTTTGTTCGCTAATGTCCTCATCCTTATTACATTTTCGCATTTCATAAATGTTGAGCGGAGGTAATTTCCCCATTGGACACTGCCCAATGAAAAGCTACCTTTCTTAGTTACAAGAAGCTTCCTAATTGGTGCACTTTGATCAAACAAATCACTCACGTAGTACGAAACTTTGATCTCGCGGCGTGTAGCAACGCGTTTTTCTCCATTCTGTCACTCAGCGGGGAAAACAACTCCTAAAACTAAGACATTTGGTTATTTCGCTTAAATTTTCTAAGAGAGCTTTTTGCTGGCAATGTTAATACTATCTAATGCCTATGTTAAATGATCTGACGATTGTTGTGTGGTAAGGAGTCGGCCGCTAATCAGTATGTTAATTAAGATTCGCATGCTGAACTCTGATTGGTCAATTGATAACTCCACCCTTTAAGAAACCATTTCAGTTCCCTTTTGCATCCCGACTGGAAATCCTGCGCCTGATTAGCGAAACAAAATTAATATTTTAACTCAAACTTTGAGATATGGTGTTCTTTTTTATGATCTTCTAGGTAGCTAGCTGCATTATAGGGAACACCAATATTTTCTAAGCGCCTTGTTACCTGGGTCAGAAGAAAATAGCTACTCCGACTGGGAACTAAACCACGAAAATACCATGAAATATGCCTGCGTAAACCGCTCGTAAATTTTCGAATTCGGAATTCTCTCTACCAAGGTGTTAATGGCGAACTCACCAACCATAATGTGTAGATTATTTCATTTCCACAAACATGCAACATTCGTCCGCTTCGCGCCAAGATAATGAACATATCGTAAAACTCAGCAGCTGTCAGTTGAGTTCAAACGCACATCGCAGAGAAGCTAGAACTAAGAGTTTCCAGAAGCGAGAAACATCGCAGATGCCACATCAGTAACTTGTTATTAAAAGAAAACACGATGTACTGTGAAAGGTACTTTGGACCAGAGGTTTCAAGAGAGGAAGAATGCAATCCACTGTTACTTTATCTCAACACAACTCTAGTCTTTTTGCATCGTGGTCCATCGACCCTTTTGAACCAGTCTTCGAGACTGGCTAGTAGCAAACATTGCATGAGCAATGTGTATATTCAGTGACAATTCAAAGTCAAAATAAAACTTTAGGTACTCAGAAGTGATTTTCAATAGCTCAATTTGAGGGGGTTAGTTCATTCTTTGTTTAAATGACCTTTTTTCTTTCATCGTTTTCGTGTCAGTCAACAAAGAAGAATGGAGTGCTTTCAGAGCGACGCAGGCCCGCCTTCAAAAGCTTACAGCGAAAAGGACTCCACCAAACAAAAAAAAAAAAACAAAAAAAAAAATCAAATAAAAAACATTTCAGGCAAACATCTGAAGCATATCGTACTTATCACAACATCGATGGGAAAAGATCAAACAACACTTCGTGAGAGGGAGGTAATGTTGGAGAAATGACTCGACCATGTTTGACAAAACGGAAGTGAAGTGCAACTATTTTATGGCATGTTCCGCACCTGAAAAGGCAAAATATTTGCCTGGCGTTTGTTTGTTTTATCTGTGTTAGAAAAACTGCTGTGGCTTACCTTTGAAATCACTTTGTTCTCTTGGAATTTTTTCCGCGTGCAGATGAATTGTTTCGCTCACTCTTGAAGCCGTCTGCCCGATCTAATGTATGCCAATTTCGTCGAATTCAACTCGATTTCTAAGCCAGCCAATAAGAGCATTTTATACATGAGGCCTAGTCATATTTAACAGAAATGCCAGGTCTTATTTGAATTGAAATATTACAAATCTTCGCTGTCCTCGCGCTGATCAAATGCGGCTTGTGACCGCGAGCTACATGATAAATATTTAATGAGGGCGGTCGTCTAAAGGGCGCACTTCAAAAACGAGCGAAAAATAACTTCTGATATCATGCCTTGAAAGCCGGGATACCGTAGTGTTAGAACATTAGAGTAAATAGTTAGTTTTTACCGACAATTTGAAGTTTCTGGTTCACCGTAAAAGTGAGATAAATGACCGCAGGGAAAATTTCATTATGGAACTATTTCTGGAAATGTCATTGACGCTTCGTCCGCCTCAGCAAAACAAAACTGCCAGAAATATTTCGTTCAAATTGCACAAGTCAAAAATTGGTTGCTTTTTGTAAACACGGAGAAGAAAAATCCTTTGTTAGGACAAAACAAGATGAAGCTTTCTCTTTGAATTATGTGGGATTTCGTGACTTTTTGCAAGTATTTTAAGCCAATGACAGTTTGTAAAACGATAAATTCTACAAACACGAACTGAAAACGAGCTGAATATGCTATGGTATGACAGTGAATGAGGACATAGAGAAGTTTCTTTATTCAAGGGAAATCTTTAAACATTTGTTTAGCTGTGTAGCTACAAAATGTAAAATTTTCCTTTCTTTACCGTGTGTTAAGAGTGAAGGCAAACGAATAACAATTCCACACACGTGGTTAATATTTTCACCGTGTGTCAGACTGGAGTGGGGTGGGGTTTATTTTGACAATGGTGAACTTATTTCGCTCTCGCAAATACGTAAAGACAAACAATTGGAAACAATTTTTAAAGAACCTATTCAACTCCTGTCTGTATTCAAAGGTTGACGTCAGTAAATATTTGCTTTGGGTATAAACGTTTTCCAATGACTTAAGTAGGCTTTTTAATAGACCAGACTAGCTTGTGGGTGGAAATCCGATCATGCACGAATTTATGTAATTAATGTTCAACGTGGGTAAAAATCTGAATGGACACTACTGTAGAATGCTAATTGCTAGAAACTCTAGTGAATTTAGTGACATTTAAAGTAAAATAAACAAGAATTTTATCGCCATAGTAAACTGTACCTTGTTTGTCAACGAATCTGTACGAATTATTTTCAGCACGTTTTACACCTCCAATTCCAGCTCTATTTTACATCATCCGGCCATTAATGTATTTGACATTTTCCCTCATTAAATTGACTGTCTCTCTTCAGGCCATATGGCCGTCCCTGAGAGTTTACGAATTCATAAAGAGTTTCAAAAGTTGACACTTTGAGTTTATCTTGTTATACAGTACCCTCCAGACCTCGTGTTCTGCTTCTCTAGCATGCGATATGTAAAATCAGTTTTCTAGTCGAAATTTAAAAACATATTACATGCACTCTACAAGAGTTATATAAAATATCTTCGGTCAAGAGGCACAATATGATTACGTATCTAGCACAGTGCTTTCAACTCAAAACTTGAACTGATTGCTACTTAACAAAACAAGTCAGATTTCTCCCTTGAATCCTGATATTTACCGTGAAACCTGAAACACGGCATTTATGTTTTGAATTGAACTTAATGGGGTTCAATTGGTTTTAATAGAATCTAAAATCCCGGAAAACTTTGGTCGTTGCTGAGAGCTGCATTTGGTTCCTTTTAAAAACAGCAAATACTGAGTGAAATATTCACAAGATTTTCCATTGTTTTGTCTGCTGTATCCACTTTCTAACCCTGGTATAAATAATTTAATGTAAACATGATACTTTAAAATAAGTAATTGAATAACAGAAGGCCTTAAAAAGGCCTGTGGAGCTTAAAATCTTTGCACATTGGTTAAAGCCTTAGGAAGCCAGCTGAGAGCTGACGAAGCCACTCAAATGTCTGTTGAACCTGAGAAGATTTGCTTTTATTTCAGTTTTCTTGCAGCTTTTAAGTCGCGAATTCAACCGTTAATGCGTTTTTAATCTTCTGTTGCAGATTTCTGCCATCTGTTAGTCGTGGAACTCAGCTCTTGGCTGAGAACGATAGCAAGCACGTGTTGACAATGAATGCCTTTGTGAATCTTAGTTTTACACGAGACAACGTCGTGAAGAATCCTTTAAAGTCTTCTAGCTGTTGTGTCATTAAGCAATTTTTTCGAAGTATAACCAATTCAAATCTTGCTTGTTGTCTTATTTTCTTTAAAGACGATGCTGGCACAAACAAAGTTCTAAAATTCATTGTTACACGAAAACGTTTACTTAAAAAGGTGTGTACTGCATCAAACAAGCATATATTTTAAGTGATTGCGCATTTGACAAGACATAGATTGAAGCTTTTTACTTAATAGCATAATTTTATAGGCAGTAGTCATTTCAAATTGGGAACATCTTCATTTCCTTTATAAGTGGCTTTCCTGTATCTTGGTCTCTTGTGATATTCTCGTTTCACTCTTACATAACGTGCTTAATTTTCCCGCCATTTCTTGTGCGCATGTGCAGATGTCTTGCAACTTCTGTCGAGAGGTTTCTTTAGTTTAGTGGTCTTAAGTCAGTGAAACAATAACAGCAAAGATAATTTCTACTCTCCTTGTAAAAACTTAAAGCATCTATCGATTTCTTCGTTGTGTTAAAGCACTTTGATTCCACGTTATTTTTTGATCATTTGATTCCACTGTTTTGGTGCGATCAAACCAGCATGGAGCCTCGTGTCGACAACATGTACTCTGACACTGTCGTGGTCGGTTTTTTTTTTTAGCACTGTCTTAATTCATCTGATATTGGTTCGTTCAGTCGAGTGCTATTTACTTTCCGTTTTGTTTCCTCGGCTCCTTCTTTCAGTTCATACTTCATAGGCGCAAGAGTGAATTCCGAGGGAATGAATCGACATGATTGAAAGATAGGGTGTCCAAAGTAACACAGAAATAATAATTCTTTGTTACTGACTGCACGAAAAATACCGCTTAAGTTTACGAATGTTTTTGACTGCCTCTTTTTTGGACCAAGTATAATGTGAGTCATTTGTCTCTTGACTCACCACTGTTTAAACAGACAATTGCAGTTATTCAAATTCAATGAACTCCCGCACTGCTTCTTGGTAACCTTTGAAATTCCATACCGTTCTCTCTGATGTGAATGCTTTTCAAACCCCAAATCCATGGTTATGACAGAAAATGCCTGTGATGGCATTTTGTTTTCACTTCAATGAAGTTTCACGTTCGCGAAATAAAACCGTGATAACACACAATGGAATAACATTTTATTCAGCGGTGTGTGTGTCTTGTCTTCACAACTTCACGAAGCATGCCTTCGAGTTGAGCGGTCTTTCAGCGTTAATGTGTTCACGTTCTCCATTAATTTTATTCACTTATATCTACGTATTCAAACAAAATTGCTCATAAATATACTGCTTTCGTGACATAGCATAAAGCCCCAGAAGCTATTTTGAATTTGGACCAAACTTTTTCCGTGTTGTGGGTGGCTACTGTCAATCTTAATGAGATAATGGTCCAGACAAGAATAATATTAGATCAAACAATCATTTCCACAGTGCAGAATAAATTGCTTCTCAAGAGTTCAAAGTTCCGCATACATTGTGAATGAAAACAAATACAAGACCTAAACCTGACCCCTACTGTGGAATATTTCCGTTTCCGATGAAGCGATGATATGGACGTTTCATATTGTCGAAAACATTTTTACGTGTTCCGTTTTCTATTTAAGATACTCGGTATCTCACCGAATTGCGTATGTTGTTGTGATTATGCATTTTTTTAAACACCTATTGATTTCGCTGCTACTAAGGTTACATTTTTACGCGAAAAGAATATACTGGAGACTTCGGGCGATTATGTAAGTTCAGTTAAAACCTACTTTTTAGCATTTCAACTTTTAGTTCGTATTGAAACGATTTTTGATGCGTAGTCAAATATCATATGATGCAGTTGAGAACTTATCGCAATACCCGACTGTTTCCAGTTCTAAATTCTATATTTAAATTCCTACGTATATAGACTTGAATATCGAGTGTGAAAAGCCCCGTTTCCAAGTAAACAAACAAATAAAAATCTAGTATTTCTCTACCGGCGGGTTCATCAATTATATTTTAAAAGAGCAGCTAATACTCTTCTTCACGTAATTGGAGTAATTAGATCTACTTTGCATATGTGCAACGTTTGACTAGTGAGTCAGCTTGTTTCGCCATCTTTCACAACTCTCGCAACTCTTCTGTAAAAATCTTTCCAGTTGGTTGAAAGAACCCGACGATGACCTGCCTGGTATTTATTGCGGTAAAAACTTCTCATTTGCAGTTCGACGACGAAGTGTAAACACACTTACACAGTTTAACTCTGTACCTGCGTTGGCCGGTCACGAGGAACTCAGTGGAATGCGGAATTTCTGAGAACAATAACTCATTCGGCATGACTATACACAAAGATTTACAAGTACATTATCCATTTTATGCCTAGTAAGACTGATACAAGAAAGTGGTTCTGAGAACCTCGACTACTCACGTGCACAAGTCTACCTCTGAAAACGAACAAGCAGAACAAGGAAATAGAAACCCTCTGCATGTAAAGAGAAGCTCATATTGGTGAGTTAGTACACTTAGATGAAGAAACTAATTTACTGGTAAAGACGGTTATATTAATTCAGATCCTACTAGTAAAATATAGTATAAGGGAAACAACATGTAGGGTTACGCTCTTGGCCGATGTCAACTAAAACGCTAATCTTAGGATTATCTGCAAAGAATTAATTGAAATATTCTAGCCGTACTAGTGCGCCTGCCTCTCGAATCAAATTTAAACCTCGTGGAAAAGGTTAACCTTTTTTCCATCAAAAGACCGTTTGCCTATAGCTGCTACGATTTGGAAAATTCAAAAGCCGGAAAGTTCAGAGTGGAAAAACGTGCTCTGAGCATTTCCACAGTTGTACCGTATTGCGTTGTGTTGCTTTTCCTGTACTTGCCTTCACCCTATTAAATTTGACATCTTGATCTTAGTAATTTTATCCACTTCTTAAATGACATGTTTTATTTCCTCAGAAGGAACGACTTGAAATCTTTTCCCTGATCTCATCACTCGCGCGCTTATTTTGTTTCAACGGCTTTTATTTTTCTGGGCGGCCTCTGCCCTATGACAGCAAACGGGAAAACTGAATGAAGTTTTTATCAGTAGCTCCATAGTGGAGGCGGAAAAAATATGAACTCCTCTCTGTGCGGGGGCTGAGCGAGTAATCCAGTAGACTTTTTCTTCCTATAAGAACAAAAAAGCCGGAAAATAAGCTGAAAAGTCTAGTTAAATACTTTTCGCGGTTCCGTGTATGCTTTTGTGAAAGTTCGGGATCATCGTGACAAACATTACGGCATGTTTGTTTTTGCTCATGCATAGCGTAAGCCGTCGGTAACTCAACCATCCCGCGTCGGGGAATGCTCCCGACAAGTTGCTTAATCTTTAACCGGATTTTTCGCCGGTCAGTTTAGAATCGTGCAGAACTCCACACATAATTACGTCATTTCTGATTTCTGATCCTAAATTTAAATTAAGAACACCATAACAGGAATAAGTTCTTTCTGTGTATTACAGTGACTCCTGCAAAGCTCGACCGCAACAAAAGCCGCTAGGAATACAAATATGGACGGCTTAGACAAGATTTGTCAATAAAAATAGACATTTGTAAACAGGAATACCTAAAGCAAGCGAGAGAAGTTAATTGCGGATATAAAGAACTGACAAATATTGCATTCACTAGCATTAAACACTGGTAAAGTGTGGAGCTTCGCCAAGTGCTTCGCTAGGAAGGAGAAAAAATAACTTCTATTTAAAGGCATTTTCCTAAAGAAGTTAAAGCAAAATACATAAAGGGAAAGCCAGGTGTTAAATAACTTAAAAAAACCAAGTTATTCACCTGTTGTCTAATATGTTTTTTAACAGCCCTCCGCATCATGCAAATGTGACCTTTCTTTAAAGTGCTTCTCAAACCGTCGGGTATATGAAGACTTTGTTTAGTATAAGTTCTCGTTAGAGGCACGGAATTTCAGATTAACAAGTTTGCAAACTTACTCTTTTTCCTTCAGGGTATTAAAACACTGCATATGGAAAACAAGATCATTGCAAGACACGAAAATGCAAAAGAAACCAGCGGAGGAAATCGATACCATATATTCGAAGAGAAAACACTTATGTCTTACTTGTACGGCAACCGTGAAGTAAGAGCTATAGACGTGAAAAAACGTAAAAGAAAAGCTGAAGGAAAACAAGGTATGAAATTTAAATATAAGCCAGGCCATTCAGACACTTATTTAGAAAGCTTAGTACATATTTAATAGACATATATTTTGCGCTAAGTGGTAATATAGCTCAGGTCGTAACGGTCAACAAGCAATATGAACCATTTCTGTTTCTAGTTTATAAACATTTTTACGTGATATTTTTACATTAAGGTTTTGCCTCGAAATATATTGATAAATAATGCGGTATACGATTAATTTTGTTGTTATTCTTTTGTTCAGCTTGCCCCGACCCGATTGTTCTCAAAAGTTCCGCTTTCACCACAGTGTTTACGAACTCCATGCTCTTTACGAGAATAGCTGCAATAAATTTGAATTTGCTGATTTTAAACCAATATCACCCAATATACTCATTTTTCAATTCGCAGACCCACGTTTTTACCCTGAAATTAAAGTAAAACCTCCGTGGGTAAAAAGATAGAAAGCTGTAACATTTGCTGATTATTTGTGGTTTTATTTAGTTTAAGTTTAGTGAAGCAAAGAATTTTATTATTACAACATTTTTTTATCTAATACGTGCATAAGTCTTGGTTTCACGCACTGAGACGTATTGGATCTTCAAAATAATTTGTATCAGATCGACAACACAAGAGTTCGTTCTAGTAATTCTGTAAGTTCTATGCTTGACAAATTTCGTCAGTGGATCTTTTCACTTGTAGCAAAATGGTCAATAGATGAGTCTATTTGTGTACCAGAGGGACAAATGGAACAAAAATGTGCGGTTTCTGCTCTCGTGTTATGACCACCTGCTGAGTTAGGGACAAAATTATCTGACAAGAAATGGTAGAATGTAACTGAATTTTGCGGCTACCCTGCTCACTTTGAGCTTTGTTCCTTATTGCATGAGCGGCAGCATACATGGCACCTGTTATGCACGTGATAATGACGTCAATGAATGCTGGGCAATGTTCTCAGTTCGTCTAATTTTTCTGCAGCTCTGTTTAGATCTGCCATAAAACCTTTTAGGAACTATCGCGAATCGAGATACATTTTGTTCGTTAAAGCCTGCTTCCCGCTCATTTAGTACTGATGACGTTTGTCGATTTTCTCAGAGACTGCATCATCGAAGAAACAGAAGCTTGCTGCTGACCACGAGGAGCCTCGGCTCACCAACGCCATACGGTCTTTCCCGGATGAGGTGCAGCTCTGTGCATCGAGTATTCCTGGGGCGAGTTACGGTGTTTGCGCTAAAGAGCACATACCACTTGGGACATGGATAGGACCTTATGAAGGCAGGCGTCTGTCTCCACGGAACCTCTCACCAGACATAGATACGGAATACCTCTGGGAGGTAAGGTTCTGGTCAAAAACTAGATTGTTCCAAACAACAGCTCACCAACGCCATACGGTCTTTCCCGGATGACGTGCAGCTCTGTGCATCGAGTGATTATGAAGTAAAAAAGGAAAACACAAACCCTAGAGATAAAGGCATATAGCACATAAATGGGCCTTTGGTAACAAATATTCACAAAGTACAAAGATCTATAAAATGTACCATTCTGTATGGCACAGGAATGCGATAGCCTCCTAAACAAAGCGATTTCAAACAATCAAGTTTGACTTTTCTTTGTATTGGCTACCCCAGTGCGTGACTTTTCATCCCAAATGGATCCTTTGATCAGTCAATTAAAAGTTCACGAAACATTCGTTACATTCGTTACGATGTTGTCATCCCTGGAAAAATGACAGCTTCAAATATACACAAAACTATAGTCCAGTGGGACTATAAAAAGAGTATTTTAAAACGAGAAAAATATGTATCAATAAACTAATTGTTCTTTTTTAAAAGAATAGAGTATTGATTAGGGAGTGGCTTTGAATTGTTATCTGCATGTAGTCGTAGTTGTAGTTGTCATTTTGTTTCCATTTTAATCCATCGAAGCGCTGTAGTGTGTCAGCCGAAAGCTCGAAAGTTTTAACTTTATATAGCCAGTAGACGTTTTTATAAATTTTTAATGTTTTGTTTTGGCTACGGTTCTTCTATTTTCAAAGAATCACAGAAATATACCAAAAATGGTTATACTTCTTTTTCTTTTTGTTGATTTCCAGTGCTCGATTTCGGAAAACGTAAACATCATCAACTTAAAGTCCACCCTGAGTGCGAATATTAGTTTTTCTATTATTGGCGAAAAACTGTACTCATCAAAGAAACTCCACTTAATACTGAAGCATTTCAAAAATCCATTTTGTACGATGAGGTCATGAATTCTTAATAAATTTCTGTCATCCTCTCTTTCACAACTTCAAGTAAGTCAGCCATGTAAAAGAACGACCAAAACATCTCCGGAACAATTTTTTAATGCAAACGTAAATTCTCATAAGCACAATCATACAATGTATGGCAGACAGTGGTGAGAATTGAGATGTTAACATTTCTTTCGTTGTAGATCTACAAAGATGGTAAACTGAGTCATTATGTTGATGGAAGCGATGAAGAAAACTCCAGTTGGATGAGATTTATCCGCTGTGCTCGTCACATAAAGGAACAGAATTTGTACGCTTTCCAATATTGTGGAAATATTTTTTATCGTGCGTTTAAGGAGGTTCCTCCAGGGAGAGAATTACTGGTTTGGTACGATGACAAATACCCGCAATTCCTAGGGATTCCTCTGGGCATGCAAGACTATGACTCTGGTAAGAACCATTGAACACTTCAATAATCAAACTCCAATTTCCCCTAGTAATATTTATACGTTTTCAAGCAGACAGATGATGGGAAGAGCAAAAATCATCAGCGCAGCTACATTGTCCTAACGCAAGAAGAGGAAGCTCTCACAAATATCTCGAAAAAAGAAATGGAAACCTTGGTGTAAAAGGGTAACTTTTAAGTCTGTAGAAGAAACCCTAGGGTGTGACCATTCAAATGAAAGCCATTGAGCAGTACTTTCATATGGTACTATTTACTGTCCTGCGCAATTTAGTTTTTAGTGCTGTGAATGAGACGCTAACGTATGATCATTTAAATGAATGCTACTTGGCAGTACTTTCATTGTTTATTATGCGTTATTAGGTGATGCTAACCTTTCGTGTTTGAATGATATCTCATATTTTAAGATAAAAATTTTAAATCGTTGGAAGCTTTTTTGTCCAGGACTTTTTCTCAAAACCTACAAAGAAAAACGTTTAACTGTATTTTTTAACAAGAAATTTCTTCCTTTAATTTCAGCAACATCTTCCAATGCCCGAGCCTCTCCAATGAGCAATTCAAACAGCACCCTTCTCAACTCAAATGCTAAAAATTTCGGCCTTCAAGAGTCACGTGATAATCACGTGGGAAACTTCAGAGTCCCTGCAACACGTGCTGTGCAACCGCGGTTTGCTCGCGCGACAAGTACTACGGGTAACGCGCTTCAACAAGACCATCTTGGTACCTCTGGTATTAGGGGTGGTCCCAGCTTTACAGCAGGATCTGGTGAAGTCAAAAGAAGTGAGACAAAATTAACTCCAGTGCAAAGTGAAAGACAATTTGCAATGAACTTTCCTCAGACAGTTGTGTCAAATGACAATCACTTTTGCCCGCCGCAAGCAAGAATTAGAGACTCGCAAAGAACTTCCGAACAACAATTAAAAAATGAAAATTCAAGACACAAAGTAACACGAACACAAGGGTCGGACAAACAGTTTAAACAACACAGAGAGAAGAATTGTGTGTCTACAAACGAAAGAGGAATTCCTCCTCAAAGACACGCTCCATATGAAATGCCGCCATCACAGTTATTTGATAGTGAGTACCTGATTTATTCACTTTAAAGACCAAAATTTCACATACATTTTTTTTTAGTGAGCTGTTCATAAGCCCGGCAAAATCTTGCCAGTGTTTCGCTCAAAATCAGATGATTGCTAAAACCAAGAAATTATCTAAGAGTCATTTTACGGATCACTCATTTAACCTCGCATGAAAGTACATTGACCATTTCTTGTTAATGGAATTAGAGCTCGTTAAGGTCCGTTAAGTTAGTCTGAGAAATGTTTTGAGGCTCGTTCTTCAGAAATGATCTTAGTTCAATGTCAATTCGAATCGAATCTATATTATAATTAGTAATCAAGACAAAACAAATACGACTTTTACAGATGATCAGCAAATTTCTTCCCGTACAAGTGAAGGCCAAGTACTCATGCGCAGTGAGACCGGAAGCACCGCGAAAAGTGTAATGCCAGCCCTTCGTCCTTACATGCCTCCTCTACTAAATGAACAGTTCTACCAAGACCCAATGAAAACTCAAACATCAGGGATCTCTCCGGATGAATTCGGCATGTGGAGGTGCCGGCAGTGCTTAAAGACATTTACTCAGCGGGTGCTGCTTCAAATGCATGAGTGCCCCCAGACTCCTGACAAGCCATATCAGTGCGGTCAGTGCACGCTGTCATTCGCAACTCCATCGGACTTGAGAAGTCACGTGGACACGCACACTAATGAAAAGCTGTTTAAATGCGGGTTCTGTTCGCGCGCGTTTTCAGGAGCGACAACTTTAAATAACCACATACGCACACATACGGGTGAAAGGCCATTTAACTGTGAGAAATGTCACAAGACGTTTTCACAAGCCAGTCATTTAGCAAGACACCAGCGAACCCCTGGGGACTGCGTTCCAATGAAGGATGTATAGGCCTATCTAGGTGCATTCTCTTCCCCAGAGCCTCTCCTACCTCTGAGTCCACGGGTATTGACACGAGCAAAATGTGGCTCCAGAGACATGATTTAATTGTGTAGATTCTTGGAATACGACTTTCACCAAATTCAAAGCTAGTTTTCTTCCAGAAAATATCGATGGCTGATCTCTGACTAAAACCATTCGATCACAGCACCTACGGACCTTCACGAATTTCAAAACTGGCATACGGGGAGAATTTTCAAAGAGGTCCTACATGACACAACATACAAACACCACTTCCAGCCAGAAGTTTACTGCTGCTTTTCAAGACCTGTATGTGCTGCAATAGAACAGCAGTTGGTTAGAGATCAACCAGTGGATACGTTCTGGAAAGAAAAGAGCGCTGAGTCAGTGAAAATCTAGCCAATCAAATCACGTGTCTCCAGAGTCACTTTTCCTCGTGCCAAGGTCCAGCTGGCTAAGAAGGACAGAAGGCTCTGGGGACAAAAATGATGAAGATATAATTAATATTACTGCTATTTCCTTCGACACTAACTAGACCACTAACTATCGATTTTGTGCTTGTATCAAACACATTATTAGATCGATTTCTCTTTCAGTTGCAATCCACGCGTATTTTTGAGTTTGCGAGCGCTATATTCGCCGTGTTGGATTCACTGAGAAAACATGCAGAGGAGGCTTGGCGTAAGCGGAAGAGAGCGAGTTCCTTGATTTTTCTGTTGCGTCACTAGGCGAAATAAACGACGTGATACATTTCTACTGAGCAGCAAATGTCGGAATATTAAATCACAACGCAGAAAACTTTATAACCTGGTGCACCCTTTGTTAAGAGATAAAGTGCTAACATATTTACCTATTGATCCTAGCACTGAATAAAGTACCACTGGATCTCTCTTTTTCTTAGAAAATATTAACCGCCAACCTCTATATTGTCCTCGAAATTTCTTATCAGATTCCGAGCTTCTATCGGTCGATGGAAAACCCTCCAAAAGAATACTTAGATGTAAAGTTAGTTTAATTTGCACTCAAGAAATGATACGTTCTAGACAGCATAAAAAATAAAAGAACCTGTAAAATACTGAGCTTCAGTTCATCTTCAGTACCGTTTTATTGTTCTGGACGACGAGACTGTTCAAAATTAATACCATACAGTTTGTTAGTCTAACAGAGGTAAAGATCATCATCATCATCATCATCATAATAATTTAATATTTATCCAGGGTACTTTCTTCAATAGTGGGAACTTTTTAAGGGACGGACATGCCATACAAAATATTTCGCAACAGAACAGCAGCTTGAGTGCAGTCCTGATCTTAAGGTTCTACCAAAAGCAGGCAGCGTTTCAATGTAACATAATTGAAACGTTGAAGCGCATAACATGTTGCACACGTTCGGCCATTCTGCTGCCAAGATTTTGGCCATCCTGTCTTACGCCAGGGTAAGTGAAAATATGGCCACCCCCAGGATTTCGCGCGGCCATTTTTTTTTATCGCGATTTTCTTTAGCGTCACGCACGCCGGACTAAACGAAAGAGGGACTACTTGTAGTCTATAGTGCGACATTCCGGAAATACATAGTCTGAATTCCAGTGTCTTTTTGAATTGGGATTTTTTTCATCTTTACAGACCAGAAACAAACTACAGAAGGTGGATCGAGACAACTAGAGATTCCATCTCTGCCAAATGGGTGGTGTTTTAAATTGGCCCTGTGTCCTCGGGGCAAGACAGCTGTGCCTCTCTAGATCTCTAAGGAGTATAATTAGGCAATAGACCACAAGTTCTTATGGTTTATAGGCTGATAAACCACTTGGGATGTTGGAAGAACACTCGAAGAATTCGTAAATCACGAGCCGCAGGCGAGCGATTTACGAATTCTTCGAGTGTTCTTCCAACATCCCAAGTGGTTTATCATGCCTCTAAACCGTAAAAACTTGTGGTCTACTGCTTTTATATAATAATTCAGAAGACACGCGAAATTTCCATGAATTGACTTGCACAATAAACCATAGCTGATAGACCAATCAGAGCGCACGCATTCATTTAATTATTATATAACCGTAAATGGCCAATTTCCTTCTATGAGACGCGCCTGCAGGGAATCTTGGTAGTTGTATTCATCAAAACAAATATCCAGTACAAGCTGATGAATACAACTACCATGATTCCCTGCAGGCACATCTCATAGAGGGACTAACATCCGAACTAGGGAGAAAAGCACCACTGATTTCTAGTGAGGCACTGCACGCTGCAGGCACACCCTCCATGTATGGAAAACAATTAACCACAACATTATGCAGGTTCTTCTGTTCCTTATCACGGAGCAAAACTTTAACTGCCGTTACAAGGAAACTATCATGAGTCAAAAACTACAAGACATATTTATGTCAATAGAAACTTGAAATATCATGGTCCAAGTTTGTTAATTATCACTAAACCAATGCTTTAAAGCCATTTTAAAGGTGTTATTTTGAGTTACGTTTGCTCGAGGTACTAACCTCAAATTGATAAAATTGCATTACGCATAAAACTCAGGTTTTGATATTTCGATCCAAATTTAACAGACTAAATCTTCTAGTTAACAATTAGATTACGAGCTCAAGATTCCTATCAGGTGATGAAGCCGAGTCAGCTCAGAAAATAAGAGCGAATAATTAATTGTTTTAGTACAATTTTAACTAAATTTCCTTTACATGTAGATGACGAGTTTTTACATAAGTCGCGGATTGAATGAAACTTCTGAGAAACGAGAAAATGTCGCCATTTTGTAGACAACCGTGACCTCCAACCACTCCACAGTAATGGCTGATAGAGTTTGATAGCTCAACCAATCAGATAACAGCATAGTACATTAGCAGAATTCTACTAATGTCTCTTAATATACAAAACTATCGCTCGTTAAAAGACCATTTCTACACTTAAAGAGGAGGGACTGCTCATGCGTACATTGAACTGTCAAAGTAAGATCAGTCTCCTGTCACTTTGTTCTCGTTAAAATGCAAAACGGATCAGGGGCATCGTGGGCTCTGTTAATAACAATGGTTCTCCGCTGGGAGACTGGGACCAGCTGTCCACGATGACCTGCCTGATTCATGCCTCGTTTCCTACGCATGCGCACAGTTTGAGAATTGGAGAACGGATTGTGGTGGTATCCTGGACGTGCTGACACAAACGCTGATCTTGAACTTTTGATGGGTGTTGAGTTAGGACGCCGCGCTTCGGCGTTTTTCCGGCTAGAGTCTTGCTTTGGTCTTTGAAGCTCAGTCGGTGCTTGAAAATGTATGGCATTATCTATGCGGGGTGTCAGAAAGAAATGATATTAAAAAAAAAACACCAAGATATTACCTCGAAAGTTGCTCTGGAATGACTAGTTTGTTTACGGAAAATAACTACATAAATTTGACTTGTTTAATCAAGACAATCACGATATTTTCCTCGTCAAAAAGTGCAATTTTATAAAAGGAAAGATTTCCAATTTTATGATGAATTTTACCTGACTGTGTGGTACAGGGCAACGTTTGTTTGTTTCCAGTTATTAACTTTACTCCCTAGAAAATACCCTGATCTAGGTGACAGAGCCATGCACGTAACACAGCATAAGACATTTGCAAGATAGAATCACGTGCTTAACACAGTGCAACCTATCGGAACGAATCACGCGCCAAAAAACAACCTAGCGTGATACAATCACGCACTTCTAGTTCATTACTTTCATATTCGAGAAACGTACACATGACTGTGATTCTACACGCAGCATCACTATAGAGAAGGGCCTACTTCTCCTTCAATGAGGCAAATACATACTTGTACTGTGAGCCTGCAATCCTATATCGGTTATCTTCAGCGGTATCCCCATATACTGTGGGTATGTGTCCTCGTACCAAACGAGAAGTTCAGTTCCGGCAGGAATGTCATAGAACGCTCTGTAGTAAATTTCCTTGTTATATTGAAAAGCGAAAAGATTTTGTTCTCCTTTGTGTCGCGCGCAGCAAATAAAACGCATCCAGCTGGAAGTGTTCTCGTCTTTGCCATCCACGTAGTGTAACAATTTACCATTTTCGTAAATCTGGAAATAAAAACGGTGATAATTATACTAAAAGTTTGAACTGTGTTGGATTAAAGTCGGAGTTTAAGTGAATGGCCAACAAACATAAAAGTTGATATGATTTTTTACTGAGTTTAAATCTCCTAAAAACGTTTATTTTCACTTCCGTTCGAATCAAGCCGAGTGGACTTCATTCGAAGATTTGCAGTGATTTTTGTGACTTAATTCCATTTCTTTTACTTGGTTAGTTGGTGTAAAGAAGGTATGAGTAAATTGTTTAAGTTTCTTAGTTACCTCCCACATATATGACGTATCTGTTTCGGCAGTGGTGTCACTGGCTTTCACTAGGTCTCCTTGATAAGGGCCCATCCAGGTCCCTTCAGGAATAACTTGTTTTGTGCGGATCCCATGTTTAAAACCGATGCTTGATGTGCACAGCTCCAGTTCTTTTGGACAAGACTTTTTAGCGAAAGTGAGCTTCTCGGCCTGTTCCTTCTCACCGGTTTTTGAAGGTGACAAAGAACCTGAGAGAAGAACAATAACTTTACTTTCACACTTCTAGAACTCCACTTGCATACTAATACAAATACTGCAATCTGATTGGCTGAGCCATCGTGGGGCCATCGCACACTGTCAGCCATGTCTGGAGGTCGTGTATGAAAAGGTGAAGTTTAATTTAATTTTATTTTAATTTTATTTTATTCTCAGTTTCAAATCAGTACCCCAGTTGTAACCATAACCTATTATATCTAGATTGTTACCTCTGCGTTCAGTACAGTCGTTCAAGTTCCCTGGCGTGGTCTGATCTTCTGATTCGTTACGCTGGTACAAACATTTGTACAAGTTGTCGTATGTGAATGAAAATGTCTCGTGTTCTGAAGGGCTCCTCAACAAAGCCACTGGTTTGATGGGAAATGACTGCTGTAGGCGAGGGCCTGTGTTCGACATCCTACACGCTGAAAATTCTCCGTTGAACTGTGAATAAGAAATGCGATTAAAAGTTTTCGTTGGAGAGCAGTTTGGCTAGTTTCCAAAGTTAATAAGCTTGAGGTTGTTCCTAAGCGTGGCACGCTTTTCGAATGATACTAAAAATAAAGTTTTATTGAGACCTTCCTACGTCAATCCGCCCACAAACCTATTCAAATTGGTCAAATCATAGTAAATAAAAGTATAGAAATTTGGCAGAATGCAGAAATAAGAACAAAACTTATTGGATAACAGTTTGAATAAAATAAAATCTCGTCTCCAACTTGCAACTATTTGTTACGAATTGCGGTAGGATTTCACAAAGAAAGCTCAACCAATACTCAATGTGATGTCATATTCCTGACGTTATTCTAGCTCAGACAAATTAAATTCCAAAATATATCTATTTTTTTGAACTTTCATGACCCGTGGGCATGAAACAATGTAAATTCGAAACACAAGTTCCACTTCAAATGACCAACAGTGTTAGCTAGTGTTGGTTGGACATGTTGTTGCATACCGGCCGAAAAACGAGAGAGAAAAAGCTGGCATGAATGAAATGAGAATACCTGTCAACAGAGCTAGTCTCTGAGTCACTAACAATGTCTTTTGTACTAGTCATATTTTGACATCTGACGCAATGATAATTTTAATATCACGGCTATAAATCTATGTATAAAAACAGCATAAGATTAGATGTGATCTAGACGTTAAAAAATGAATTGATAGTAAATTAACACCAAACTCTGTCTTTTACAATGCAATCAAATAATTGATGTCGGCAGCACTTTTCATGTGTGACTAGACACGTACTGAAAACATGAAAATTGGTTCTCGAACGCAATGCGATTGATATACCCTTATGCATGAAAGACAAGCAAATAATCCTCAACAAGCTCAATATATCAGTTATACAGAGTTTGTTGACTTACTGTATTCGAACAATATCACGTAAGGGAAAATAATTTTATGCACCATAATTCGTGACTTAGTTTTTAAATTTGTTCCACTGTCGCTTCGGCCGAACTCACCTGCTTTCCTTTCTAAAGAGGTTGTTGAAGTTTACCGGAGAATGCCTCACTAATTTTCAAACTGAGTAACTGTTGTTCGCAGGCCACATTCAAGATCTGTATGATAAGTACGCGTCGTTTTGCCGCAAACAAAAACAAAATGAATGACTGCAGTATAACACTTTGCTAATTCTTTAGCTGAACTGTCATCGTATTTGTCAAACAGTAAGTCATGCATTGCAAATTGAAAGCGTTAAGCGTTACAGCATGCTAGCCGTTGTTATGGTAAAACTTAACTGATAGCCGTAAGGGTACTTAATTCATTATCACGCTTGGGAAAAAAAATATGAGGCAAATTAACGAAGATTTTTAACAGGTTTCGTAAAGGCCCGAAAAGGCTGTTTCACTATTAGAACATGAAAACTAGGAAAAAATACTTAATGACGTTTTTGTGCGTCGTGCCCTGAGGGTCATGTCCTAACGGAAACATGCGGCTGACAAGTTGTTCAATAGAGCCAGAGTTTCGTTCTGGTTGCGTGGTGATCTGATGCGGTCCATAAAACGCGTATTACATGATTGGCACGGTTCCCACGCAGTAAGTCCTGTTAGCAAATTATATAACATGTCACAGCGCTTCGTTGCAAACGTCATAGAGGACAAACATTTCCATATCCAAAATGATCTTTAACGTCTGTTATCAATATTTGTCACGAAGAGGGAAGTTTGCGTAAGACCTGTCTTGAAGAGGGTTAGCACGGCGAGGAGATCGATCGGCATCTTTAACGATTAATCCTAGCCAGTTAAAACGATTTGCAGATTTTTAAGTGCTAGCTACAGCCATTTCAGAAAGTATCTATAAACCCAGCACTAAGATTGTTAAAAAGCTTTTCAGTTTGAATGATTAATGCATGATTACACAGAAGGTGTATTTGGTTACATAAGACGATATCTGTTGATCCACAACTTGCTAATAATCTGGTAAACTGAAGCCGGAAAGACTTGTGTTGTTGGGAGAAAGTTTTTTGGAAAGGATCGATTAAGAATATTAATAATATAAATGCATTGATCTTTAGCGAGCACTGATGTTTATAAAAAGAACCTTTCAACTGAATTTTTCATTTATTCTCATCAAATGCAAACTATGTTGTATTGTGATCTCTTCGAGTCGAAACATTAGGCGCTGTTTGTGAACACAAAATTTAACTCGACAAAACAAATAAATGGACGAAATGTGGAGAAAAGCCGGAGGATTTTAAAAAAAACCTCGATTGAACAAACTGTATGTGTGTATAGCAACAACTAAGTACACAGTCGCTCACCTGAATGGCTGGAACAAAATGTATTTTTGTCTATATTCAGGCTAACTACCGCAAAGTTAACTGTGTAACCGTAAAACCTAAGAATGAAGAGCCCAATAGGACGCAAGAATTCTTCCAAAATTTAAGCTATCCCGAAGACACCTCACTAGGTTTTTACATTTTGCTTTAGTTCTTAAAAAAACAATAAAAAATCTTTCAATTGTTTAACTCCAGAATCATGGGGCAGTTTTGTATTTTACGCCGGAACAATATTTCTAAAACTGTTGAAGTTTTTCTGGTGATTGTAAAGCTGGTTTTGTTTTCCAGATGGCGGTGTTTGGAGAGTTATTATCATGCAGTATTCATTTATGAGCCTAAAACAATAATTCCCTCCCAACAGACAAACCCCGATCATGTATGAAAACACAAAATTCCTTCTGAAAATGCGGATCCACTCCAAAACAACTGGTTACTAAAAAGGGCCATTGAATAAATATTAAAACACTGGGGATTACTAGCGAAATGTTACAGTATATTATCTCACCAATCAATGTAAGTTCTCCTCTTGCTTGAAATAAATATGATAATATCAAACAGAAATGCAGATCTCATTGACTAGTGTTTTGAATTTTTGCTCTGAATTAAGTGCCCAAGGCTAAATGTATGTTCTAAACAAACCCAAGCACTTCAAAAACCGTCGTTTTCAGGAAACTTTCTCAAGAAGTTTCAAGAAGGTTTAATTCAAAATCCTACTGCCCAACTTTTCGTGATAATTTTCAAATTTGAAGATAGGAAGAGGACTAGGAATAATTTGGCAAAGCTATAAGAAGAAAATATGGATTGATTAATCGATTTTTACGCGCACGGCACGCAGGCAATTAATTTTATTTCGCATTAACCTAGCGTGAGGGCCGTAATGGGATAATGTCAGCCCTAGGTCTTGACACTATAACGTGCCAGCGTGGTGAATAAGAGACTTATTTCATGACTTTATGATAGCCTCAGAGCAGTATAAGTTTTACCTGGTTCAACAGGAAATAGCAGAAAGGTAATCGATAAAACACTCTGGCTGACAGACTAATTTGCTTTTTCACCTGTCTCCTCTCAGTAGAGTGAAAATATTTGTATTTCTTCTCTTAAAGACAAGTTTTCTGTGGCCCTTGCTTTCGTTCTGACCACGCACATTCAAAGTTAGGAATTTTGGAAAGAATGACGTTGGATTATAACCATATCATAGTGAAATATCACTTAGTATCTGCATTTGAAGTTGCCCTACGGGCATGTCGAAATACTACAAGACTCGTACAAAATGTCGTGTTATACTATTCTCTAAGATGTCTTTTAAGTATATTCATCTGTGATCATAATTTCTTTTTATTTTTGGTAAGTTATCTATAAAATATAGATCTTTTTGCAACAGTCGGAAATAGGACATAAGCGGCATTGTTTTGACTCTAATTACTGTAGCTGACGTCAGGCTTTGGTCAGATCTCTTTATATTGATGACGGACTGCGTGAAATAGCTACGCTATTGTCAGTCTTATTTCAGTTTGTTTACAAAGCCAAGCTATAAACGGACAAAGCGATCGAATGGCGTTTTGAAGATGGAGTCTGGAGTTTGACAGAGGCGACGATAAAATAGACTCACCTTGTAAAATCTTGCTTGAAAAAAGCTTCAAAATCTTTAAACGTAATAAATAACTAAATATTCCTTTCCAGAAATAGTATGTTTGATTTTTGCTTTGCTGTTTCAAGTTGATTCGTCCATGTATCTGAAGATTACAGGGGGCCTTACGGCTGTTAGTCCAAAATACTAAGGTGAGAAGGTGTCCGCTTGAAGTCTACGCTGCTGAATTCGGACCTTGCGAACTTCAGTTTTTTCAGCTGTTGTGTGTACTCTCTTTAAATGTACTTGGGAATAAAGGCCACCGGTGTGGGTGTGTAGCACTTCTCTCGTAATCAGCGTGGGTGTTTCGAGGGGGTGGCGATGGGGTCTGGGAATTTATAGCTTACGTCCTCTGAGTTGTCTCGGAAGGGTTGTGCCAACTCAGGCAGCTCTAGCCCTGAAGTGCATTCTGGTACATAACCGTGTGTGTTCTGTGGGCTTTGCCAGTTGATGGTTGGCAATGTGGAGCTTGACATGTACATCTGTTCGGTTTTAACAAAGTGTCTCTCTTAACGTTTTTATTCGAAACAGGTTGTCCTAAAGCCTCGGCACGAATCCGCCTTCAGCTGGTACTAACAGCTTTCCGGATCTCACTTAGCCCAAGTGTTACGTATTAAACACAAACGTTCCTTTGTACTGTAAAATCTCTGTTGTAGGAACTGTGCGGTCACAAGCCCTGTGCCTTTGTTCTCAAGAGGGTCTGGATTGGCTTACAACATTTGTGGGAGCTTCTATGTGGGACTTTAGAAGAAAGCACGAGAAACGCCTTAAAGGTATCTGATGAGCGATGTATTACTTAAGAAAGCCGCTCTGATTTTATCGTATGGCAAACATTTTGACTTTCAGCTCTTTTGTATCAAACTTTACATGAAAACTTATTCAGGATCGCAGCGGTTTCCGGCGGAAACCTAGTGGTTTGCGCATGAACTAGCGGATCAGCTGATTCTCCAGAGTGGGAGAGCTTTTATCCATTTATGCGTGACAGGATGGCTTGAAAAGCCACGTCCGTCCTGTCACGGCAAAGTTTTCTTATAAACATCAGCTTCATCATATTCACATGAGCGTTCCTGTCGTACTCAGCGGACGTATCTATTAGTCACTATCCGTTTCACTTCTCTTTAGGTCTTTACTAACTTGGTAAAGCTATTCAAGTTTTTTTTTTTAGATTTTGGAATGTGGGGCTAACTATGTGAAAGGCAGAAATCGCTGTAATATCGAGCTCTAAAACCCTATTTCGGTTACAGGAAACGACTACTGAATGGGTTGATTGTAATATATTCTTTATAATCACACCCAAATTCGCAAGTACCTAATTAGAAGCCGTGTCTACTGTTCTGATATCCTGCGATATCAGCCCGCTGACCTGCCTCCGATATCATGGTCTCTTGACCGGATTTGGATACGGTAAATTTATGAACTAGTCGTACCTTTTTTGGTTCGCTTCGGCGGCATATCCGGGTTGTTTGGTCTCGCCATGGGTATTTTGGCTCAACTACGTCGGTCACCAAAATACGAACAAACGAATTTCGCCTAATAAGTCGCCGAAGAGTATCAAAAAGGTACGTTTTGGTTGAGTATTGCTTCAGTTAACAATGTGCCAGTACCTCATGTATAAATCTTGGCCCGGTTATTCATAGCATAGTACGTTTTGTTAACATTCATCAAATGAATAGCGATTTTATAAAGCGGATAGCATTATCCATCGTTGGAATAATCACGGTCTGTGGTTGGTGAGAGGCAGGAGGTATTGGCACGGTTCGAAATCAGTCCAATTCACTGCACACTGGAGCCAAACAACCATTACAATTTTCATCACTTATGAATCATTTTAGCCACACTTCACTTCTTATCTTCTCTTAGCTCAACTCAATGTAAGCCTAGTTTTCATTCAGAAGTATAGCGGCTCTTGTAAGTTTGTAATAACGAAGCGCGCGAAGTCTAAAAATAGAATGCAAGTTAATGGAACCCCGCGAGAGTCAGACATAAGCGTGTTCCGAGAGAAATAGGAGGAAAATGAACGCCAAATTTTCGTTTTAAAAATTGTTTTAGGAACACTTGTTTACGTGCTTGAAAAAGCTTCAAATCTTCCTCCATTCCGTTTTGTTTGTCTGAGTTTGTCTGAGTTATGACGTCACTCGCGCGCTTCGCTATTCTTTGGCTTTTTAGCAGCTGTTATTGTTTTGGGTATCAAGCCATTCATGTGAGACCTTACGAGAGCGGCGGCTGCTAACCGACTCTTTTCCTTACGACATAAGCACTAGCATAAGCATAACGATAGTGAGGACGCCCACAACACAGCATAAGCACGTAGCCATGCGCAGAATGGGTACTGAATTGCCTTATTTTTGGCTCCATACCTCCTGGATACAGTAAAACAAGACGGCCGATTATCGCTAATGCTTACAGCAGCGAGTTGTCGCTCATAAGTGCAAGCTGTTCTGTTTATGCTTATGTTTGAGTTGTGTGTGTACTCAATACCGTGTGCTTGTGCTTATGCTTGTGCTGTTGAAGTTCTCACAAGTGTTATGTTCATATTTACTAAAATTGTTGTAACTCAAGAAATGTTTAATTCAATGTATTGTCCGTCAAGCATGAAGGAATAAAGATTCCAACTTAACAAACTGGAGACTTTTGTCAGTGTTTTGAAAAAGCGTTCGCCAAAACTATTTCGTGAGCGGTCCATTTTAGCACGACAGTCCGTGCTCGTGGTCACTCAGAGAACCAATCAGCACACTGCTTTTATTCTGGACCAGTTCAGTGCCATATGATATTCTGTCAATGACATTTGCATCACGTTTTATTAGTCTTGCTTTTTTCTAAAGAAATGGTTGCTTACAACATGAGATAGAATGCCAATAAATCGTTTTTAAAGGGCTCTAGAATTGAGCAACAGGTGAAATCATGCTACGTCTCAGAGAGGAGTTTTGTTAAAATGCAAAGCGTGAAACAACTTTTAATTCAATGACCTTTATGCTATGTATTGAGACACTCAGGTAACTGAACACTTTTACAATAATGCAACACTTTCATTACTTTAAATTACCTAGGATAAAACGATTGAAAAAAATAAAATAAAATAAATAATAAATTACGATATTTAGAGAGGAAGCCACATCAGCCTGGGCTGGTTTTCACGCAGGTCCTCTATCCTGGTCCAATTGGAGTGTTAGTTTTGTGGAGGAAGGAAAACCAGAGAACCCGGAGATAAACCCTCGGAGCAAGGCGAGAACCAACAACAAACTCAACCCACAAATGACACCAGGCTGGAATCGAACCCGGACCACATTGGTGGGAGGCGAGCGCTCTCACCACTGCACCATCCCTGCTCCCTCAAAAAGTCGACTTTTTAACTTACATTATTTTGGATAAAAACTTTATAGAAGTGTCGGTCTGTGCCATTTCTCTGATTTTCTAGCATGAAACTCAGCCCACTTTGGTCAGTTTTAAGTAACCTTTCTAAAATAAAATAACGCGCCGCTTTGAATATTTGCGGGAAATTGATGGGGTTTTTTTTTCCACTGTGCATACACGACGCAATTGACTTGTGACGTCTTTTACCGCTGTTTCTCTGAACTGTACTGATTCAGAAGCAAACGTGACTTTCGATTAGGAGATTCATAGTATACTCAATACAGGAACAACCACATCTATTTACAACAAAAACAGAAATCAACTGGAAAACAACTACGATTACATATAACAAACGTCACTGAAGCGAACCCAAATTAAAATTTCTAAAGAAATAGACAGTGTTTGTGGATATCCGAGATTCAAATTTGTAAGTAAAAACGATTAGTATGTGAAAAAAGTATGTTTCCTTCACTGACGATGATTTACAACCATGATTTTGAAAGAACTCATTTCCTTTTGCTACTTCAGGGCACCTGATTGGACACTAGCTGAGAGAGAGAGCAGAGAGCAACCCCCGGGGGGGGGGGGTACTCCCTTATATGGACCATATAGGTATGTGCAGCCCCAAAGGGTATGGTTTTTCAGCCGTTTCGGTCATAAATAGGGTATCGATTTTAGCTGATTTTGGCCATTTCGGTCATAAATAGTGTATGGTTTTTGCACTCTAGCCTTGAAATGGGTATGTTTTTAAGAAGAAGCCACTTTTTCATCATTATCGAAAAGAAAATCAACAAAAGCCCTTCACAAATTATGTTTACGGCAATTTAACATTGGTCTGAACTAGGGAACTAGTTTTAACGCAGGTCTGAAACAGAGTTTTGATTTTAGGGTCAGGTCAGAAATAGGGTTTCGAATTTTTGGTTAGGTCATAAATAGGGTAGGGAATATCGCAGATTTTGGTCATAAACAGGGAAAGGGTTTTGGGAGGCGGGCCGCACACCTCCACCCAATTTTTCTAGGAGCACCCCCCTCCCCGGGACAGCAACTATATTTCTGCCCTCCTCTATCAAGAAACTGGGGTGTGCTGCTGACAATCTCAAGATCTCACCCCAGCACTGGGCTCCATCCATTAATTATAAACCAAACATTCTATTTTTAAATCTTCACTCTTGACTTCACGTTTCCTCTGACGTTTGCCAAACATTCCAGAATCGTGCAAAAATTAGTTGAAAGGTTAATCCGACTGTTCACTTGCCACTATGACTCCTGCTTTAATCCTTTGGAAGTGGTACGTGATAACAAAATTTGTCTTGGGAACAATTCCAAGGTTCGATTTTAAAAGTCAAATCTTTGTAGGTAGGTTCCGGATTTTTTGATAGTGCAGAACTCAAGGTGAGACTGCAAGCTGTGCGCGTGACCAGAGGTGGACAAGCTAAGGGAACTAACAAGGCCGCAGGATATTGGATAGCTGATGCCCTCCTGTTTCAACAATATTTCGAACGGAAGCCCTGCGCCTCACTTGTGCTTACGTGAGACGGCATTTAGAAAGAAATGATATTAATCTGAAACGCTCTGCATGTGGAAAGGCATGTTTCTCGGTGCGAACATGACCTCAGTTATGTCTGACAAAAAAATATTTACAAAATGCACTGTAAAAATGTTTTACATAATCCGACCAATATCTGTTAATTGTTTGTTCAAGAGAGAAGCGTGACAGCTCACAAAGATCGTCGTGAATGATTGTGTAAATATTGATAAAAGACGCTAATCAGCGGAAACTTAGCTGAGTTTTATCACTTCAGTTTGAACTGGCCGAGCGTAATAATTCTTATCTTCGCAAAAATGATATCGCAAAATCTAATTAAGAATGCGACAGTTAAATAATGGTTGTCTGAGGTGATCAATTTCCAATCATTTCAAATTTCTATGATCGCCGGGTCCGCGTCCTCGTGCTCCACACGCCTGCACGCAAACATCACTCACGACCAAAACAACAATGTCTATTTCCTTACCTGACCAATCCGCCTCCCTAAACCAATGCTATCATTTTAGAGGTGTTATCTGGCTTTTTCGAGACTTGTTTTTCTCGCCACATGTTATTTTTATTCGGCCTGGAGAGCTGATACATACGGTATGTTATGTCACAGACGTATCAGACTCACATATCAGTCGTGCGATACGAGATTTGGCAAACGTCCCAAGAATTGAGAGCTGTCAAAAACTTTTGACGTTCTTCTAGAATGATTGACAGTTCCTCGACCTGAGGGAGAAAAACGCGAATAAAAACATGCCGCTAACTAGTAGCTGTTCCAAGCTAGAGCCTTTTGTTAGTATAAATATCAGGTGACAAAGTAACGTAGACCCACTGAAAAGGAACACTTTTGGGTGGGCAGATAAATCTCACTTCTGTTCACCTAGATAGGGGCCTGAATCAAGAATTAACGCTGCCAAAGACTTGAGTTTTGGAAAAGAAAAAGTTGTGCCTAACAGAACAGTTGGTGAGTGAGTTCAACGTTTGCGTGAGTTCTCTTGTAACTAATTCAAGGAACACACTTGCGTAATGTTATCAAAGCTAGACATATGACTTCGTTTGTAATTTCAATTCTTGGAAATGGGATGTTTTGTCTTTTGTATGTCCCTTTTTTTTTAAAAGAAACCTTGGCAACAAGATCTACGAACAGTTACTGATGGTCGTGAAAGTAACAAATAATTTAAGATGATTATAGTTATTATTTTTCATTTCTTTTTCAAAAAGCTTTCTCGTAAGTTGACCAGCACCAAGAAGCCGTAAAATTACAAACAACTCAAGTGTATTTGTAAATAATTTCTTTTTGTCAAGGTAAAAACATCTTCGTGTGAAACAGTTGTATAGTCAGTCGCTCTTGTAAATGTCACACCTTTGGTAGGCGCTTCTGCTCTTGTCCGGTGTTAGCTTCCGCACAGCGGATTACAATAACTCATTTGGCCCTCCACTTTATTGTTTCTTTTCCGCATAAAACGCTTTCAAATAGCGCACTAAAACTTTTTGGATAAAAAATTTCACCAATTTTCCCGCGACTTTATCATGGCATGAGCCCAGACTGCTTAGTAGAGAGTTGCGACATAACACGCATTTTTAACGCAGTTGATGATGGCCTGTTTCACACACAGATTGGAAAGTTTATACTGTAAACAATTATTAACATACTGGTTTTTTTCTTGTTTGCTGTGCCTTGCGCATCAGCACCTTATTGGGCGGGACCCAACCTGTCCCATTCTAGCCAAATTCCTGCTCGTACACTTATTTGATATGGCTATCTCAGATTAACTTTTAACTCATCCATAAAGAAAACTTTCCCTGTTTTTCAATGGACGCCATTCCTCTGTAATCTGCGGGAGGGTCATTCATTAATTAATCTGGCGTAAAACGTTCAAGAGAGGAATGCATCTTTGCGAAACTAAGCAGTCTTTGGAAATATTGTTGTTAGCTCCTATTGTTTCTTTGAAAATGCCGACACAGCCGGTAATCGCGTGTAGCATAGCGGGTAGCAAACGCAGCTTTTTTTTTTATCGGTCTTGTATGCGGAAATCTACCAAAAAATAAATAAATTTAAAATAAGGCGGAAGAATAATCCGTTCGAAAAAAGTTGTTGTGCTGTACCATTTGTAGGTTTTAATCTTCCGTATTATGGAATTAGCTATTTATTCGGGCTTTGTTCCAACACGTACTCCGCGCGGAACATCAATGCTGAGCTATTTTAAAGATAACAAATCTTTATTTGCCAAAGGCAGAAATTTCATATCTATCTGCAACACGAAGCCATGCTTTTGTTAAATACTTGCTAAATAATACGATAAAGGAAGTTCTTAAACTTATCTCATTTATGACCTGCAGCTACCTCCTTGCCACAAAATTGATTGGTATTTCTACACCACTTAGTGATTTATTTCAATGCTGCTGTAGTCTTCGAAACGAAAATTATTCTGCTCTTTAATAAGGCAAGAGAAAGTCGACCTCTGTTAGCTACACGGTCCGGTCAGCTTAAAGGACGGGATTTCAAGTAATATTTTACCTATCCAAGTCTGTCATAGAAGTTTTCTCGAAGATCTTCTCCGCTAAGTCATAGGCAGTCCCCGAGGGCTGTAAGCATTTTCTTGGAAAGGCAAAGCCTTTCTCAAATTGTCCCATTTCCGGACAAAATAACTTGGCAGCTAGTCAATTGAAGTTCAGTGAGCTTTTGTTTTGAGAGCACGATCTCCTTTGTCTCCCAAGCAGTATAACGAAAATGTCAATCGAGGTGGAAGTTGTTACTGCAAGCGAGAATGGAAAAAGTAACAGTGGAAAACAAGGTTACAATTATTTCTTTTTGTCTACCTTCAATTGCATGGATTAGCAAAAGTTTAAGTTTCGTCTGATAATTACTTTGAAAAATTTACAGTGTAGTATTGAAATAAAATGAAATAGGGTTTCTTTGTTAAATTGGTTATACGAAGAAATAGTTCCTCAATATTCTACGAGCTGGGCACCTTATTACGGCATTAGATAACCTAATCGGACTAATTAAAAGTTATCACACTCAGAACTGAACGATCATCGAAACTTATTAACTCTTTTACCTGGAGTAAAAAACAATTGTAAAATCACGGAAAACAGAACAAAGCAATTACAAAAAAAACAAAAACAAAAAAAAAAACAATGGCACAAAAAAACGTCCTGCTCAATAGCTTTCATTTCATTTGAATAGTCACAATCAATAGTTAGTTCTGTTGCAAATTTAAGTCAGTTTTCGGTTTCAATCTTCTACAGTCAAAGTCACAACTGTAAGACTGATGAATTCTATACCGTACCGTAATAAACACTGAGATTTTCATTCACAAACGCTAACCCTAGGACCAGAGTAAGTCACAACAATCCGAGTAATTTAACTGATTGTGTTCATTCACAGCTTTCATTTGATTGGCCACACATTAAGGTTTGATTCGCCAGTTGTGTTCAGGCAGCCATTTCTAAGAGTCAAACGCAATTGACGGCTCACTCTTGCAGAGAAAGCACAAGCTGGTGTTTTGAAATTCATGCCCCGTTTTAAAGATTGTGAATAGATAACGAGTAAAGTTGCATGTAAAGTTTTAGGAGGGTACAAGGAACTGAACTCTACCGTAATCTGTAAGTGTCGCCAAAAACTGTTAAGAGCGTAAGTTTGTACAAGACGCAAGACGCAAGACTTTTAAACGTAATTTTATGTTAGTACTTAGATTTATCAGTTTTATCTTTCCATGCCTTGATTTCCCCACTCAGCATGGCTGTTTGTAATGCTGGCCCAATCACGAACAACAATATTATTGCAATGATTTTTATGTTTTAGTGAGAGCCTTTTATAGCACTTGTTGATATTTTGTGGCCGGAATGACATCAAAAATAACGTCAAGATCTGTAGTTATTTATTCTGCCACCAGAGTCATGCATGAAATTTAAACTCTTATTTGCAATACTCCAGTCTATCTGGTAGATCAACGTTGTCAGTGTAGAAATGTCTTTTCAAGCAGGATTACTGAAGCGATAACTGAAAGATAGAGATCCAAAACACAAACAAGTTTTAGAAAACATCAATGCTGAAAAATACTGAATTGAATTAGCGCATGAAGGTACATAAAGCTCTGGGTTTCCAACAGTCAACACTTACTAAGCTCGCAGACTGTCGGAGAGAGTTTGACAGTCGTACGTAAACTGGTAAAATTTAACAAGTACGACGTGCGGGTCCTTTGATGTTATCGTGTTCAGCTGTGATACATTCAATTGTTTCTTTTTGTAACTTGTTGTTTCAGTTTCCCGGACCGCGAGAATCAAGAAAATGGCGCGAAATGGTGTGGCGTTCACCACTCACTTTCCCGCCAACCAGGCAGCCCTCCAAAACACTTCACACACTGGCAGACATTTCAAATTCACTTATGACGACTTGTACAACTGTTTGTATCGACACAATGAGCCACAACTCATCGACATCGAGGCATTTAAAGCACAAAGAAAACCAAGCCAATCCGACGGGGAAAGGCCTAAAGAAGTTACAAGTAAGTGAAAAAAAGAACTTCTTTTATAAATGTTGCGTGCCAAGCAATGTACTTTATTATCCAGAATTAATTTTGCTTCGAGCACAAAGGTCAAATTTGTGTCGTATTAATCTTATTGTTACTATCAATTCTTCAATCAAAATGCCTTTTTCAAGTTGAAACCTTTTTTATAATTCTTCCAAAGCTACTGAAAGACTAAAAACGCCAATAAACAAAAGAAATCGACTGTGTTCCGCAGAGAAGAAGGGGCATTCAATTTTGCCGCAAAAACAATAAAATTGTTTGTTTTCTGAAACCATTTTTCCGGTTCTTTCGTAAAGGGAAGTGAATCTTGTGTATTTATTAGCCGTTAAGGAAGACCTCCTGATGCCGCTTGTTGTGATTAGGAAAAGACTGCGTTATATTGAACAACAGAAACTAGGCTATAGACGAAGAAGAAAAGCATTTGGTATTAAGTAGTCATTGTTTTGATGATAAAAATAGGATAGATTAATCTCCTACCGGCAGACATACACACAGATAAAAGCATTTTTGTGCAAGGCCCAAGACAACAGCATCGCATCAGAAGAAGGCGTTATTAATCACTTCCTGCTTCAAAGACAGATGCGTAACTGAGAAAGGAAGAGAAAAACCACAGGTTTTACTGTGCTCCAGTGCTATCAAAACTTCGAATTACAAATGTTCAGGATTTTGGACTGCTTACTTCTCGATTCTTCTCCCGCCCACCCATTAGACAAGATAAAACAGCATTGCTGCATCGCCTGATGAAAGGTCACGAATATTTCCGGCAAGCGGAACTTCGGCGAATTTGTTTTGCCATCATTGAAAATCCCCACGACGCGAGATTTCGAGGGAGGAGCTTACAGACACAGATGACAGAACGCTTTGTTAAAATTTTTGAGATTTTTTGATTACGTGTTTCGATAATAACTTCCCTTATCTGATTTAAAGAGCATATCTCTGTTAACGCCGGTCCCTTTGATGTTCCAGTATTTTGATTTTGCAGACTTCGACCTTTTTAATGAGCAATATAACTCTTTGGTAAACGACGGAGGGCGGGAGGGAGGGGTAACTATTCCGGTAGAGATTTTAGTCTCGTTCTCAAAATCCTTTCCAAACTGCAGGCGAAAATATATTATTTTCCACAGCATATCAGACCTGAGCTAAAAAAACAATATGTACACATTTTCAGGGACGATTTTTACTATCACTTGCTCGTTTCTCTAAGCTTTGGCTTTCTCACTCATCTTTCTCCCTTATATTTAAACACCAGCTATAATATCAAGAAAAAAAATCTATAAGCCTTTGTCGTACAATGAAAACGGCTCATGATCACAAAACGACAACTCTGGTACCCTTTTATAACTTTACTGATATAGGGGATTACCGCCTCCTCCCCGGACGCAAGCATCAAACAAGCCCACCCATAACCAAGTCAATGATCACTCACAAGTTAGATTTAAACACAAATATGAACAGCCCAAATGACGATTGGTATTTACTAGTGAAAAATGTTTGACAAGCTGTTTGAAAAAACTCACGATCTTGTGTGCTTGGCTCTTGCGATCCGAGACTGTAAGTTTAGGACTGACAAGGGACGCTAAGTCAATACCGAAATAGAGGAGGTATAAGTTAATTCACAAACAATGTTTATACCACACCCATTGTCTGCGGTGGAGGACTTCAGTAAAACTTCAGTCTCTGAACCGAAGCCAGTGTCAATTTGGAGGATCCCGTTACAGAACGGAAAGAGAGGTCAGGTTTATTTTTGGCGGGAGCAAAGGTGAAATTCTTTCTGGCAGTTTTGCGGATGATCTCGTTAATATTTATAACGTTTTAATCGGCCAGAAAAGCAACTCGTACTGTTCAGACATTTAAACTGTAAACACGTGCTGTCTCGCAAAGAGCAGAAGCGGAAAAGAGTATCACATTTTTGTGTCTGAATGCATGTCTCCGAACCCAGTTGCTAAACAACACAGGCGAGACTTTCTAAAGAGAAAATAGACTTAAAATATCAGACAGACTTCAAACTTATTTCCTTAAAGTTAGTTTAAATGACATTATTATTCAACTATTACGTCATTTGACTAGACAAGAGTAAGACGGTATTAAACCGTAGTGTTATTATTGCACTATAGTGCCCAATTTGGAGCTAACAGCAAGAAAAAAAATTCGAGGGAATGATATATCATGTATTCAATGTCGAGCACGTAGGCTCCCGGACATTTGATTTCACTCATTTCTCATGTTTTTACTGAACTCGGAAGAACCCTACGAATCTCGTAAAATGTCTCTATTATTCTTCTTCTAAGCCGGTGGATGAAATAATGAAAAACCCAGTTAGGGATCTTCGATTTTATATTATGTATTGGTGGGGGGGGGNGCATGGTGGGGAATCCACTAGTGCTCAAGGGAGGGAGGGGACGCAAAAATGTTTCTGCTCTTTGAGCCTTACATTGTGACCCCTTTAGGGACCCCCTCCGGTGGCTATGAAATCCTTGGGACTATTTTAAAGAGGGTATTTCTTTTGAAAGCGATGAATTGAAAATGTTGTCCCGATTCGCCGCTTGTTCTTCTGTTTTTAGAGTTTATCTAATTGTTGTTTTTCGATTTTATCTTTTAGAATGCGAAGCGTGCCGATCAAAACAAGGCGAGTGCCCAGTGCACAAAATTCCAAACTCTAACAGAAAACTGCTTATTCCGGGACAGAAACAACCGGTCAAATTCAGTTACGCCATAGCCTCGTTTCCAGAAGAAGTACAACTGTGTGTGTCGAGTATCCCTGGGGCGGGCTGCGGAGTCTGCGCAAAACAACACATTCCTGTAGGCACGTGGATTGGTCCTTACGAAGGCAAACACGTCAAATGCGATGACGTCAAACCTAATACAGACACGTCATACATGTGGGAGGTATTATACTGTTTTTATCGTTTGCAAAGGTGTGCATATAACTGACAAATGAACTGGAATTGACTGACAACTTACAAAACGCGCAGGCTATCTATATATATATATATTTTTTAAATCATTTCTCAGCCTAAACATCGTTACACACAGCGTTTGACCTCGAAGTTCGTCAAAAATACTCCGCTACGCGTCGCATTTTCAACTCTCTTCTTGGTGTTTGGAAATGTGGTCAAACACGGTCTTTTGTGTTTGATATATTACTTAGCGATTTCCCAGCTATCAGTCAAAATCCAGATCGTGAACTCCTCGTACAATTGTAAGAAAAAACCGCGAGAAAGTAATTTCTGTTTCTTAGTAGAGATGTTAAACAAATCTGGTGGACCAGAAACAATGGGATACGAACAAAAATGACACCATCCGGCAGCTGTTCTTATAGCTGAGACCATTTTGACGATGACCTTGTGAGGTCATTCAAGTAATATAAGAAAAACAATACACCGTGCTTAACCGCGTTTGAAAACGCCGGGAAGAGAGTTTAATTAAATATAGGCTGCGCAGCGGAGTATTTATGACGAACTTCCAGGACTTAGAGGTCTTTGAAAATTGAAACTCTGTCTTGAGTGTGCTAAGTCTTGTCAATCTAAAGTGAAAGTGATAAGTCATGTAAATCTATGCTAAATAAGATCAGTTATTTCATCAACGTTATGGCTTCCTTGGATGGATTATCAATAAGTTTGAGAATTCTAAAACTTACAAGTTACTTTTATTATCATTTAATGCCATTTCCGAGAAATAAAAAGCCGTCGAAAATGACGTTCAAATTTCCCAATTGATGGTTTTCTTTATTCTCTTCAGCTATTTAAGGAATAGAAAACATATATCGTGTTTCTATCGAGTTTTAGTAGAATTCTACTAGTATACTAATGCAAATGATGTAATCTGATTGGCTGAGTCATTTGACACTATCAGCCATTAGTGTGCAAGGGCTGGAGGTCTGCTAGGAAATTGACGTTTTTTTCGTTTTTCCAAAGTTTTGGTGGAAAATTTTGATGTAAATGGATAATTAAATTCCTGAGGAGTCTAAGCGAAGGACATTTACGGTTTCTTGACTTTTAAAAAAGTTGAAATTATTAAAAAAAACTGATGCGCGCGCACACACAACTTCAATTTTAAATGACAATTCAATCCGAGCGATCTTTCTAGGCGCAAAGTTTAATATTACGTCAAGAAAGAATTCGAAACCGTCATTTTAAGTAAAGTTTAGTAAGAATTCTACTAAAACAATTAGATTATTCGCTCTCGATTTGTACAAGGTGATAGTTGATTCGGCCTTCGGCCTCATCAACTATCACCTCATAGAAATCTCGAGCTCACAATCTAATTCTTAAATACAAACACGATTTTTTACCAATCAGCGCGCGTATTTTCTTAAGGCTGTTTTCTAATGCTTGTTAATGTATTGTGACAGCAAGGAGTAATTGGAAGTCTATCATCTTTGGGTATTACAGGACAATAGCTCAAACTTACTCAGTGTTCAGTCATCCTAAAGTAATTTATTTGCCGTTATCGCAAATTGTAGATTTATCAAGACGGAAAACTGTCCCATTACCTGGACGCCAGCGACGAAAACACATCAAGTTGGATGCGATTCATCCGATGTGCTCGATACAGGGAAGAACAGAATCTCTTTTCCTTCCAGTACTGTGGAAATATCTACTACCGGGCTTTTAGAGAGATTTCCGTGGGAGCGGAACTTCTCGTATGGTATGACGAAAAATATCCCCAGGATATGGGAATACCACTGGAGGTGCAAGATATGGCGCTTGTGGACCCCAACGGTATGTCATTACGGTGACGAAGCAACTTAGTGTAGGTAATCAAAAAGTGTTGTTTTCAAAGGTTATAGAATCTTTATCTCGTGTGCAAAGCATTGTCGAGTTGCGGTCTTACATATACGTTGGGAATTCTATTTACTCTCAGAGTGCCTTTCTCTAACAACTAGGAGTAAAAAAGCAGACATCTTCTTTGGTGAAAGTTAACATAACACTGGTGGTGGGGTAGGTCGATCGGAGGACACTGAAGTAGACCACCCTACCCGTAGAATTATAGAAACAGGAATTAAGCGCCACAAACGTCGGGCTCTGCTAAGAATACCTTCAGAGAAGTGTGCCAGAGTGTGTACTCAAGAAGATCCTCCTGAGTTTGCTGAAATTTCTTTGAGTAGTTTTTCTGGATAAAACGAAAAAATGTGGTTCCACTGTTTTGTTTATTGATACTCGGCACGGTATGAAGTTAGTTTCGTGTGCCAAATTGGTCTCTGAGATGTGAAATGAAAATATTGAAACTAAAATTGCGATGTTGTAGAATTGACAGTTCTGCTTATCAAGAGTTTCACGTCTGCCATTGGTGAATTTATTGATTTTCCACTTATCCCCTCAAAAATGCCCATGAACCTTGTTAATCGCAATCTTTTTAACTGTTGTTAGACGATTACACCTTCAGCGTGTTGGGAAGCCTAACAAATCCTTTTTCTATTTATCTAGGCACAAGACTCCTGCAAGAGGTTTTAGCAGCCCAAGGTCAAACACAGCTTACAGACCGACCAATCAACTCTTCGCAATATCCTGCGCCGGTTTCAAGTCAGCCAGCGGTCACCTCAAACACTCCAACCAAAACTTCTCCTCGAAAATCACCTCTTCCCGTATCACGTGATAACGTAAACGTAAAAGAAAAACCCTCACCTACCTCATCTAATGACACTCGTGTTTCTTGGCACCACAAGGTCCCTATTCCCATTACCTCTCACAGCACCATTCCCACAGGGGAAACTTTCACTCAGGCCGAGCGGACCCGGGATGTGGTGCCTGTCGTTTTAAAAGAAGAGCGGGTCGTGATCGAAGATTGTGATGACGATAGAAGGTTCAATCTGGCGGACGGCTCAGAGCTGAGCCTTATGAAATGCGGTCAGTGTAATCAGTCATTCGCCCAGAAAAACATGCTCCAAGTGCACGTCTGCCCGCGCATGCCCAAGAGACCATACACGTGTAACTATTGCTCGGAGTCTTTCTCCCAACCAAATGAAGTGCGCACGCATGTCGTCACTCACGCTAACGATAAACCATTTAAGTGCGGTTACTGCTCGCGCACATTTGCAGGCGCAACCACGCTAAACAATCACATTCGTACTCACACGGGTGAACGACCATTTCTCTGTGAGAAATGCGGCAAATCTTTTACACAAGCATCACAGCTCAGCAAACATCAACGAATTCCACATGAGTGCACGTTCTAGATCTTTACATTAAAATTAAGGCCACGTTTATTTAGTATTTCAATAAAACGGTACAAGCTAGATCTTAATTATTGGTCACTGTGACATTCTTAAAAAAAAAAATGCCATTAAACCTGGTAGTTCTCGAGTAGCGAAACTTTTTTGTAATTGTAAATAAATAAACTAGATTTTATACTTTCAGCAAATTAGCTATGGCAATGTTGACGTGACTAACGCACTGAATTCAAGTTGCCTGTATGTTAAAATAATAGAGCCAAAATTTGCTGTGCGTTTTAACAGATATTTGTGAAATAATTCTTGTTCTGTCAGCTAGTTCTCTTGTCAGCGAGCAATAGCGCATTCTTAATTTTGACGAGTGGTCAATTTCCGACCAGAAAACATTTTTATCAGATGACACGGACAAAGCTCCTTGTAAGATTGTCTTTGTAAGGAATTGTAACAAATAGTTAATAACCTAACAATTAAATGGAGGAAGGATTAACATGTGTTTACTTTGTCTGATAATTTGCTGACCAGCGGGTAGGTTATATTTGTGGAAGTTTAGAGTGTCCTTCATGTTCACGTCTCCTTAAGCATGGCACCCTACAGAAGTAACATGCTTTCCCCCAGATAAGCCCCTAGATAAAAGGTCCCTTGCAGTTAGGCTATCACGTGACCTACTTTTCATAAAATTATGGGCTATAACTGAAAGAGTGTATTCTCGTTATTGTACTGGAACTACAATGGAGGACACATGTCCTTGGGACAGTTCCAGGAATCCTTTCAAATTGGTGCGTTTTATCCTCCCCATCATTATTATGACCCTGGACCCATATTAACCCCCCCCCCCTCCCCCAGGAAATGTTGGAAAGCTCTTAGCGAACATTGACACTCATTTTGCTTGGCTAATGCCTGTGCAACGTTCCCAGTTCAACATTGTTTGGNAAGGGGGAGGGGGAATTGGAGTGAGGTTTGCGCGTATCGCGTTCACTGTCCCACCACTTTCAACTGAGGTTAATGTAGGGAATCTTTTCAAATGGAAATGAAATTTCTCTCTTTTTAATGATATTCCCCCGCTGCACAAGCCTCCACTGCAAACTAGTTCCAGTCCAATTTTGAGAATAGAGCTTACAATGTTCATAAAAAAATCTCCAAATTACACACAATCTTGGCGACGTACTTCTACAGTTTTATTGCTATTGCAATGTTTTAATTGTTTTAATTTTACATTGATTTTTCCAGTGAAGTTTTAGATGCAAAGTAGTCTTCGGATATGTCACGTGTCATAAGTACAAATTTTTTTTCCCGCCAGCGGCTTGTTGTCATGTCAACTCCGCTCCTACAAGCCTAAGAATTTGATTGGTCAAACATTTGATTGGTCAAACATTCTTAAAGAAAAGTCCTGGAGTGACAGGTGAGGTACGCATCGCTGTGTAAGAAAGACATGGAATTTATTTCCTATTCTTTCTGCACAGTAATTAAAATTAAGCTCGTCGCTTGAATTTCCAAACTGTGTTACTTGCCATGTCAGCTACATACACTGCACCATCTTGATCTGAAGCGATGTCATGAGGTTGACCGAAACCCTACAAAAGAGTTTGAAGAAATTAAAACAAACAAAAGAAAGAAATGTGATCTAAAACCCCGGTCTCAGTGATTTCAGTCGCCCTTATGCGGTTTTGAGGTATTTCTTTCATTATAACTAACAAGGTCCGGGTCCATAGTGTTGCAATACGTTTACAATCAAAACAAGATTCAGGCGTTTAACTCCTGCACCAACTCCATTGAGCAAATCATCAATCATTTAAATAGAAAACAAAAAATGTTACCCATGAAACTCATACAAAGTTGTGTTCGCAAAGATCTTACCAGGCGTGACTTCCAGCGTTGTATCTCAGTACTGTCGTTTAACCTGAACGTGAAACCCAGCGCCTCAGAGGAAAAAGGACCGTTTACAACATGAAGTACTTCACCTTGAGAAAATAAATACACTACATTATTTAATGAATAGTCGAGCACATAAAAAAGGCGAGAAAAATTGTATAATCACCTTGTTCAGGGTGGTAGTGCACATCAAATACTCGATCCCCAAACTCTTTGATTTCACGGACAAAAGACCCGTTGACAGAATCAAACACCAACACTCGACTGTTTTCTCTGTCAGCGACAAAAAGATGTCTGTTCTGCTCGTCAAGAGACAGGCTGTGAGGTAGCTGGAAAAAATCTGGATCTGGAAAGAGGAAGGGAAAAGATCCGTTTTGCTTCTCTTTCATCGGCAGCAATATAAGATTACGGTTTTCAGATATGAAAGGAAACAAGGAAAACCAATGAAAACTATTTGGTTCTGAGGTTACATGAGTTTGTCCATAGTATAAAACACCTTATTTGATTCTCAAGCGAACAGGATTTAAAAAATAGGAAAAGAGTAGACAAACGAAAGATGTAAAACATCGCAGAAAAGGAACACTTTAAGATCGATTTTCAGGCTCACAATAAAATAATAACTGTCTAATTGGCAATAGTAACTATTTCGCTGCAGGGATCTGGAAAAGCATTGACGAATAAATATCAACATCGCAAGGCTGATTTATCGAGTATTAACTTACCGCGTCCTTCTAACGTTTTGTTAGTAATCGTCAAAAGCACTTTTTTGCCCTCTGGTGAAAACTTTATAACTCGACTGTTGCAATATCTGGAGAAAGAAGAAAAAGCCACAACTTATAAAGGATTAAAAGTGATAGGAACATCTGCTCTAAGTCATCTTTAAAGTTGGCTCATTATGGCTCAAAAGGAAAACAAAAGATATATTTTAATTAAGACCTTTTACACCGAAATGAATTAGAGGCTGTGAACTGAAGATGAATTGCTATATAGCTATTCCCCAACGGTACGCGCTCTTATTTTTTACTCTGAGGTCAGATGACAGTTAACAATAAAACTGTTTCCCGCCAAGTCTAAGCGTCGGGAAACTTTGCAAAATCTATGACGTCACAGGGTAACAGTGCACTGTTACCCACGAATACGGAGCTTTAGCAACGACGACGGCGACGCCGTGAGCGTCGCCTATTCAGCAAATAAAGGAATTATATTCTACCCTATAATTTTGTAATTAGGTCTATCTAGATCTGTTCCGTGTGCTTATTGGTCTAAACTCTTCTTCAGAACGACGGTATCCGACGTATAAAAATCAAATGTTGTTATTCAACAGATTGTCACGATACTCACATATGGTCAAGAAGCCTTTGTATCTGTCTTCCAAACAAAACCTGTAGATATTCTCCGATATACGCAGCTTTGCCATATTCGGAGCCGCGCTCAAGAAGACTCGTCCGCCGGACATCTTGCTCCATAGCTCCAAATTATTTAACGTTATAAAAATGCGGTTTGCGGACATTTTGTTGAATAATCAAACAGTCATCCTGCTCAATCTTGTGGACAGCAATAATAGTCAATTCTAAATGCAAAAGAAGATTATTTTTACCCATCAGAAACAAAAACATTTCCGTCTGAGTCAACAGCAACATCAGTAGGACTACAGAAGTGAGTATCATCATTTCCTGGTAAAAACTGTGTCCCAAGTGTCAATGAAGGTTTTTTCTTTCCGGGTGGAAACTTGAAAACCTGCAGGAAGTATAACGAACAAACTGCTCAGATTTTATTGCGTAATTAACGACGAATTTTTTTTCAACAATTTATCCGACATTAAAGTGCCTATGAATTGAAAAATAATTGCTGCTTATTTGAAAGGCTTTTCAAAACACACAAGAATAGCATTTTCCTTTTTGGAATATCTGTTTCGCTTTAGAGACATTGACGTTTTTGTATTACGCAATTTCATCAGTTGTGCAGCTAAAACGGTAAAATATTGAATAAAGAATATCTCTAGAAATGTTGGAGCAGTGTTCTTCAAACTTGGCACCAGAAATGTACATCACAAAAGAAATAAAATGACACCCGTAAAATACGATGAAGGAATCTGAATTGAAAGTTTACGAGTTTTGTGCTTTTTGTGCACCTAGCTGCCAGACAATAGGCGCTAGTCTAGTCAGCAGAATATCTTTCATCAGATTTAATGCTGTCATTCCATTTCTCTTGGCTTTTAAAAGGAACGGTGCTTTTGAAAGAGAGGAGCTTCTGGTATACAATTCTGTTCGCTTTATCGTTCTTAATAAAAGTCTCAGAGAAGGTATTGGGAGTGTCTGTGCTACTTGGTTCTTTACCAAGAAAGTTAGTGTTATAATGGTGCCGAAGGGCAGAAATAAGGCCGAAATACTTAATGGGTTGTATTCGTATATTGTAAGTGCTGATAAAATCTGCAAAGGGGAGAAAACTGCGCGAGTCCGTCGTTAACTGGGCTAGCTACCTTAGTGATTCCATGCAGGAAAAGATGTTTGTAGAAGACCGGTCTATTTTCGATCCTAATTAGCGAATTATGCCATATGTGTTGTTCAAGAAATTGCTGCTCGGTTTCGATTTTATCATCAAAGTTAACCTCTGACCATATTTCT